CATTTCTTGTTACGGGCACATCGCTGAATGGTATGTATGTATTTGGAAACGGGCTACTAACTGTCATAATGGATGATGTTGTCGATGTTAATATATAACTGATAGTTCCATTAAATCCATAGGATGGATTAAATATCGGCCGATTTCCATAGGTTTCATAATATTTTTCAATAATGGGAAAGCTCAATTCTTCATAAGCTGGATCGACCCATCGTGCAGGTGGTGGATCATTACCATTGTTGTAATAGATTGTAACGGTGGCATTCATCTCACTAGTACGTGGAGGTGTACCACTATCTTGTGCATACACTTGAAATGTAATCGGAAAGAGACTAACACTTAAATTGTAAATTCCAGGAACACTGCTACGAAGGACAATTGTTCCTGTCGTCTGATTAATTGTAAAATATGGGACACCAACCGTTCCTATATAGTAATTAATCTGTCCGTTGACGCCTGAATCAGCATCTGACGCGATAATACGTAAGAAACGAGAGTTATTGGAATTGCCAACGGCAGAACGATAGATTGTATGATTCCAATTTGCCATAATAAATACTAAGCGAAATCAATCTGGCATGGACATGAAAGTAAGAATCTTCCATCTTACCTGGTGGATTATCGTTCACATCCAATAGGTTGATACGTAAGCTGCAGAAAGCTAAACACAATTTGAAATAGAAATGCGTTGAACTATGAAATCGGGGACTTACATTGTCGTTGAGGTGTGCCATTATCAGTAGCTAATATAAATAAATACCAAACTCGTGGCAAACCTAAAATGCAACATAAAATTCATGTCTTTCTAACCTTGTTTCGTATTTAGAGTTTGGTTAGTTATTTTTCGGTTCGATGAGTCCTGTTTCACAACACGGTCACTGATCAGTAAATTTAAAGCTTGATTGACTTTTTCGAGTTAATGGCGTTTCTTAACACTCGGAAATTTGTTACGTAAATTTTTTTCTCATCAAAATCTTACATCAACCAATTTCATTCATATCAATTGTTCGACAAGACAAAACAAATCAATAATCTTACCTGGTGCATCATAGTCAAATGAAGTATTCGTTCGTAACAACGCTGAACGAGTCGAATTCGTTTGGGTTAATTGTTGAATATAAAATTGTGTGTAAGCCGTATTTCTCAAACCACTCACTGAAAGTGAAATGTTCATGTTTATGTAACGATAACATACGCATGAAAGAGTTTACCTGTTGTTCGAGCTTGTTCCGATGGAAATGCGATCGTTACCTGACCATTTTCTCCTCGGTCGCTATCATACACCGATATCGTAGTTATGTTCGCTCCGACAGCATTATTTTCGTAAAATGAAATTGCCGAACCACAAATATTGTTCAGAAAGATTGGTGATTGTTTGTTGACAGCTGTTACATTGATGGTGATAGTTGTTGTGGTCGAAAATCTTGGGCAGGCTGCAAGTGCTGGTAAACACGATGCACCATCGTCACTCGCAGTGACAGTCACGAAATATTGTGATGCCGCGTATGATGGTAACGATTGTTGTAACTGCAAAGCACCCGTTGTTGCATCGATAGAAAACAGCGCACTAGTCATCGAGTAGACAATGCCATCGCCATCAGGATCAGTGGCATAAACCGTGCCGAAGAGCGACCCGACAGTTGCCGTTTTACTAATGAAAAATGTCTGATTGACTGGTACAAACACTGGTGGATTGACATTATAATTTTGAAGATTAATTACAACGAGTGCAGTGGAACTAACCGATGGTCGAGTGGAATATGTTTGAGTTGCAATTAAATTAAATAAATAACGATAATAAGGTACGAAGTAACTTAGTGGACTAGATGAAAAGAATCGAATTATATTCTCATTTAACTGTTCTTGATGACTTACTAAGTATTAGTGACAAGGGCATAGGAACCATTTGATAAAGTAGTAACAGTAAAATTCGGGTTGCCCGACGTCATTGTTATAACACCCTTTGTGAGATTAAGTGCTCGACCAGTGACAGACGTCGGGACAAAACTTAGCCGAGTAGAGTCTGTTTGTGGTTGAACATTGAAGGTAAAGACTGTCGTGCCATTGGGCGATGCAACAGAAAAATTGAATGCATTCACCGTATAAATAGATTGATCGAAGAGTGGACCAGCATAATTCACATTATAAAAGAAACTTGGGATATCATTTTGGCAAATTTGCCCAATGGCAAGATTCAATTGAATTGTAAGGAAAATGATCAATACATGATTACATTTAGTTGAAAGCAAAATTGCAGACATCTAAAATTATGAGACGAGATCTAGATCGTTTAGTATTTATATGAAACTAATTGTTTTTTTTAACCTTGAATTTCATTACTAGAAATGCGTATATTACTTGTTTTTATTTCTTCCTCTTCCCACAGTCAAATATAGCTGACGTAAATCGGCTGTCTCGTCAGTTTTGGGAGCGATTTTATCGTGTGCTGTTTTCGCAGGTACTCAAGATAAAATCGCCGATAAAGACGAAAATAGCGAAATTCAATAGCATAAACTTATGGATATTATTATTAGTGCATCAACGGTTTTTCTTTTAATGTAATTCAATATTTATACATTTTTATATATGTCGCAATAGATTAGAGAATTTAGTTGAGATTAGAATGTACATAAATATCAAAATACTATCGAAATCTATATTCTTTACGTTAGAAAGAGAAATAAATAGAAGTCATAATTGTGTACGAAAATATTTTGAAATTTCGAAAGATCGTTGAGAATTCTATAAAATGGTAAACAAAAATTTAACGATTGATTACATGTTGATGTTTGGATGAAAGATTGAAAATCATAAAGAAAATGTTGATTTATTTAAATATCTTATGCTGGCTCTGTTTTCTTTCCAGGGCGGCGATATACGGGACATTGAAAACTTCTTCGAGCAGCGAAACATGGGGATATAGAAACTGTAAAGCGAGAAAAACGGAAGTAATTTTACTTCTGTAAAACGAATAGATTTTTTTCGAGCAGCGGGATATGGGGATATAGAAACAGTAGAGAAAGAAAAACGGAAGTAATTTTACTTTTTCCCTTTCTCGTAGAGAAGAGTCTTAGAAAAATAAACTGTTTGTTTGATTGCTTCCTTGCTTGTATGTCCGCACTTCACTGATTGGTCGAAAACTAAAATGTAGCCATTAAAAACTATTCTCGTAAAAAACTTGATCAAAGGGTTTTTGGGGCCGAGGAACTTGAATCTGACGTTAGCTTTTTGAAATATTGAAGAAAAAATTTTTTAAAACAAAGGGCCGTTTTTTACAAAAAAAGTTTTTTTTATAAAATTTGACTAAGGAGTGTATTGGGTCGATAAACTCGAATCTGGCGTTATTTTTTCAAATGTTTACATAGATAAAATTTTTTACACAAAGGGCGACTTTTTTGTAGGAAACAGTGTTTTTCAGTAAAAATTTACCTAAGAGATCTTGGATTCGAAGAGAACAAATGTGATGTTACTTTTTCAGAATTAAAAAAAATTTTTCAAATCAAGGATATCAATTTTCAGAAAAACATGTATAACTTGTTTTCAAGTTCTACCCTCTCTTGCTCAAGACGCTGAACTGAAACGTCTAGATGAACTTGATAAAAAGACAAAACGAGAATGTACCTCATTCGCTTTTTGAACGTGTATAAATCGATACACTGTTAGGAGTTTAGTGTTATTACAAGCATACAAAACGTATATTCATTTTTCAAATTATCTTAAAATAAGTATTCGTATATGTTCATTTTTTTGCGTCTTTCTTTACATTTATCTTAATTATTGTAGTAATCGTTTCTCTTCTCTCATTGCAGTAGATATTTCCTATCATGATTTTTTATTTTCTTTTTTCATGTAATAACTTATAATCTACTTAATTGTATTGATACTTATTTAGAATATCTGGTCCTTAATTCGATATTGGATATAAATTTCTATTATTACTTTTGTGAAAATATCTAATCTTAACTAAAAATAAATTAATATACACACAATGATAGCTTTAAAGTGTAATATCTGAAAGCACGATTTCTACGAGAAAGAGCTGAGCAAGTCGCTAAACGAGCGTTACTTGTGTTAAACAAATAGATTTTTTTCGAGCAGCGGGGATTGAAAAATTAGGAAAAAAAGACGATTTTATTTTTCAATCGAAAGAATTTCGACGCAGGACATGGGGATATGGAAGCTGTAGAGAGAGAAAAACACAAGTGATTGTAATTTTGTAAAACGAATAGATTTTTTTCGAGCAGCAGAACACGGGGATATGGAAACTATAGAGAGAGAAAAACGGAAGTAATTTTACTTCTGTAAAACGAATAGATTTTTTTCGAGCAGCGGAATATGGGGACATAGAAACTGTAGAAAGAGAAAAAAACAAGTAACTTAACTTCTATAAAACGAATAGATTTTTTTCGAGCAGCGGAACACGGGGATATAGAAACTGTAGAAAGAGAAAAAAACAAGTCATTTTACTTCTGTAAAACGAATAGATTTTTTTCGAGCAGTGGGAGGGACATTGAAAAAGTAGGAAAAAAGACGATTTTATTTTTCAATCGAAGGAATTTTCATGCCGGACATGGGATATACAAACTGTAGAGCAGAAAAAATCGATAATTTTTTTTTTCTATTGTATTTTCTCTTCTATTATTTTTTTGCGCATTCCAAACTCAACTAGATTCTCATGTCAACTGTGCCATATAATTTGGTCAAAATAAAGAAGGAAAACATTTTGTTCAAATACGTACGTCTAGTTTCCAATCCGATGTCATCAATCTAAGCTGTACTCATAAGAAAGGATGGGCAACATCTCTAGAATCATCTAGCGTGATTGAGCCCTCATGCAATTTCCCCCTAAACCGTCGGTAACATTCATTATAATCCGCATAATTAAAAGTTTCTCAAAACATTTTGACCATATTTGTGTCTAGAGATGACCAAGACGAACAAAAAGGAGAAAAGAATCTGTAGTAGCTTTGACGGTCAGATTTTTGGTGACAATGGGTTCAACTTCAGTTTATAGTGTCCGCAGCATTACGCTCGCTTAGTACATTGTATTAATAGAAATAATCTTTATTGAAATCAATCTTTTGTTTGCTTTTTGCATTTCAAAATGGTTTATTGAATAAAATTATTCAATATACGTCAAGTCAAATAATAAATCAGGTAAATGTTCTTATGGAATAATTTGCTTCATTTTTCTTTGGTTATTCACAATGACTTCGTTCTTCTAAATAGCTAATTCATACTTTTTGTTATCATCATTTCTCACTGGCATCCACGAGTTTATTTTACTTTTTTGCGATCTCTTTTATACACAAATGACGAAGTTAATATGCGACCGATGAATAGATAATATGATATATTTTATGTCAGAGTAGCACTATTTAACTGTAAAATGAACGTTTCTATGTTGATCTTTCAGAAATATTCTTTTTTTTTGTCAATGATTCTTCCATCGTGGTCTTAATTAAAGGTCAAACATCTGATTTTTCCTTTTCATTATAAAAATAAAAGACAATTTTAAATGAAATTTAGAACTCAAGTACTATTTCAATGATTTTCTTTCATTTATTCAAAACATCAAAATAGTTTTAGCAGAAAATTAGGCTTTCTCGGAATGTTTTTTCGTAAAAATCAGAAGTTTGCTGATTTGTGTTTGAATAAATAAAAGAGATATCCCTATAGAACTGTTGTTGTGAGAAAATCATTTTGAAATCGTTCACAAATGTTGCTGAAAGTGAGAAAAGTTCTTTTTTTCATCATTTTGTTCGTTGTCAACAAAGTTTCAGGTAATACTTCGATGGAAGATTTGCTCTGCCTTGGTAGAGTGTTGAATTGAGGTTACTCATATAATATAATCGACCAAGTCTTCCATCCAATTCTCAATGAAATTCAAATGGAACAACAATTGTGAATGAAACCATCATTGGAACAAATATCGTTGATTTATTTATTGATGAAAACAATACAATTTACATCTCAAATGAACAAATTTTGACTTTGGTTCAAGGAAATGTGAGTTTGGTTGGAAATGTTTCGATGAACTTGAAGAATATTTCAAGTTTATTTGTGACAAAAGAAGAAAAGATCTATGTTGATACATTTTATTTATCAAATGTGAGTGAAATCGAAGTGAATTCGATTTCACGAATGAACTTTTGTGAACAATGTTTTGATATTTTTGTGAGTGAAGATCAAATTCTATTGTGTTCATTGTCTCAACAACATCAGATCATTTCCAAGTCATTACTCGATCAATGGGACTACCTGTCAACTGTAGCAGGAATAGGAAGTGAAGGATCAACATCAATCACGCTTCGAAATCGTCGTGGAATATTTCTTGATGAAAACAATGCAAATCTATTTGTTGCTGATTGTGGAAACAATCGAATACAGAAATTCCATTTAGGTTCATTTGAAGGTGAAACAATCATTTCGAATCAAACATTTCCACTGAACTGTCCAAATGGAATCACATTGGATGACCAAGGTTTTGTATTTGTTGTTAATTCCAGCAATAATCGAATTCTTGGACAGAATCCCAATGGTTTCCATTGTTTCATCGGCTGTGAACAATCAGTTGAACCAAACCCAAATCAATTAAATTCTCTATCGAATCGTCACTTTGATTCATTTGGAAATCTTCTTGTGGTTGATCAACAAAACCAACGAATTCAACGATTTGATTTGATTCTCTATTCAGGACGTAAGTTCAAATGAAAAATCAAAGAAAAAGATCGTTTTCAATTGGAGATTTCTTGAACTACGTCGTTTGGAAAGCTTTCCAAGATATTCCTTTTTTCTATCAAAGAAAACTTCGTTTTTATAATTTGATTCGGATTTCGAAGTTTTTGTTTTCGAGAAAAAAAAACGAGTTTCGAGTTTGTCTTTGTTTTGTTTAGAATGGACAACAACTGGAAATATGAGTGTTGCACGACAATGGCATACAGCATCGATTTTATTCAATAAGGCAATATTAGTGACAGGTGGATGTTGTGCTCTCAACAGTGCCGAATTGTATTGATCGAAAAAGACGTTGGACTGGAAATTTTTTCTTCTTTTTGAAACAAAAGAAAACGAAAAGTTTATAAAAAAAAAAGATTTCCGTTGCAACTTCGTGAAAAACGAAAAATTATTGTTGAACTGACAAAAGACGAAATAAAATTGAAAACAAAATCAGATTCTGTTGACTTTATCTAAATACATGCTTATAAAAAAAAGAAGAAAATCGTCGAAAAGATTTATTTCTGTTACTGTGAATTTCCAACGAAATGAAAATGCAGAAAATAGAGGAGACGAAAATTTTTGCTTTTTTCGCGCAAAAATACAAACCGTGATGATTTAATGAGAAATATTCGAATCGATGAAGATTTCATATGAAAAGGGAGAGGTGTTTTTTGCAAAGTTTTTCAATTTTTCATGTGAAAAGACAAAAAAAGACTTTGCTTTTCTCTTGTTAACGAAAAGAATTTCAGAAAAATTTTGTTGAAATGAAAAAAATGCTCCGGTCGAAGAAGGGTGTGAGGGAAATGTATTTGAATTTGAATTCGATGATCAATTTTGATCATTCGAAGGCAAATTTATCGATGGTTTTCATTGAGAGAAAGAATTTTCCTGTGACGAATACAGAAGATCAATGATAATAGTTCAAGTGTGAGCGTATTTTGTAATATTAATAGTGAATGGTTTTCTTCTCAAATAGCTTGGAATGTTGGTTATTCTCCATGTTTGTTGACTGTTTATGATCTTAACAATAACACAAAAGAAGATATTATTGTTCCAAGTATGATTACAGTTCTTCGACAAAATTAGCATTTTGTGTTCGAATCTTTGTAGACACTTGATTCTTCTTTTCTCCTTCGCATACATTCTGACGATGTTAAATAAGATTTTTCTACCGATAACCGAGAAGAAAATGATGTAGAAAAATATCACAACAAAAAAATACAAAGACATTCATTCTCATCTCGTTTAGTCGAAATAAATAAATTTAACAAAAGAATTCTAACACGGACTTTTTAATGGGATAAATTTGGTAGAGACGACCATATGAATAGCTATGTATGTTGTTGTGGTACTGAACTATGTTGTTGATCAAAAAATAAAACTCAAGTCAATGTGATCAAATCCGAAAGACGAAAATCAAAAGATTAGCATTGAAACGTTTTTATCTATATTAAGTTTACTATAAATACATATGACATCGTGTAATCGTCAAATGTAAGTGCAGTACCTTAGTAAAAAAAATGATATTCTATGAAGTTTTCAAATGATATCAATTTTCTTTCATATTATGTCACACTCTCAAATATTAATTCCTCTTTTGTCTGTGATTTCAATATTTATTTCATAGAATGAAGATAATTCTTTTAAAATGAAGATAAAACATTTTCGTCTTTGATAAGTTGAATTAAATCTAATTATTTCATAGAAATTTGCTCGTCGATACAAACTTGCAGTTTAATCAAAGCACAATTCAATACTTTTCATTTGGATCCTCGTCGATAATCAAAATGATATAAGATCGTTCTTAGAACTCCTTCATGCATTGAAAATAGTACCGCATTGTTCAGATCAGATGAATGAGAGATAATCAATGAACGAATTGTTTGGCAAATTCTTCGATAAACATCCGAATAACTTTCGGTATCTGCATTCCATTTAAAAGATAAATATTCTTCTTTCGTTAATTGATCGAGATCGAATGTTTGTTTTAAATACGACTGAAGTTCTTCAATTGATGTTCCTTTCCATTGACCAAACGATTTTTGTCTGAGTAGAATTGATTTGAATTGCAAATTTGTTCAGCAGTTATAGGAGCTCGTTGTAAATCCGATGAGATGATTTTCGAAAATTTGATGCCATTTAGTTTGTCTTTAAGTTTCTCGCTTTGTAAAAGTCCGTTTCGATTAAATAGAAAGTCCATATATCCTTGAAGTTTCTTTTTAATATTCCAATCAGTTTCATCATGTCGAATTAAAATTTTCCATGAAGATTCTTAATCTGAAATTTTCATAAGTAATTTTCAATTTGTTGATTTCTTCAAATACCACTGGAGAAGTAATCCGACATTGTCGACGTAACGGTATAACAAATGAATTCAAGAGACTTCAGCAGGAATGTAAACATGAAGGAGTAAGACTATCTTTTCGTAAATTGATTGAATTAGATGTGAAATCAAGTGTTGTTCCTGGTGGGAGTTCCAGTATAGAATTGGCTGATCTATATGCTCGCTTCTTTTACAATCAGTCATTGATAGAGTATACTAGTGATCATTATTTGTGTAATTGCACAACATCAAAAGCCTTCGAAAAAAACTGTAAATATCTCGAGAAACAAAATGACGATTCTTAGGACGCGTTATCATGTGATATGGTCTTCTTTGCCTTGATTGGCGAGAGGTCTGTGATAGTGTTCAAAGATGTGCAGGTGACACTGCTGAAGAGAATTGAGATTTATTGGAATTCAATTAATGTGAAGATGATGAATTTCGATGTACAAACGGAATGTGCATTCCCGAACATTTTTGGCTAGATAGTATGTATTTTATGGGTAAAATCTCATGAAAATCACACTTTAAATCGTCTGCTTAGGCGACTATGATTGTATGGACTGGAGCAATAAGTCGGCTTTCAAAATTATTGTGTAATATTTACTTGTCAAAAGAATATGATCAAGATAAAGGTGAAATGAATTTAACAAAAATTCAAAATGAAAATATTTTCGTTGCTGACGACAAAGAAAGTTTGGGTGATTTTATTGGATTGAAATAAAAAGTATTTTCAAATAAACATAGTTTGTCTTATCCACAGTTTCTTGTGATTGCGTCGTAGTTGTGCGACAACAATCATTGTCTTCCGCAACTACATGCAATATTTCACATCATACTGTCCTATGATTGTTTTCTGAGAACAGGATAATATTCAACACATTCTATCACAACATTCAATGAAAACGACTGAATTGATACGATGTAATATAAAGCTGAAAAAAATGTAGGGATTTCAACGAGATTATTGAACTGTACGAAATTTTTTTAGGAGTTGTTTGACGACGGCATCTAGTTCTGCTTTGTATATCTTTGATGGTAAAACAAAAACAATAAATATCGACATTGATGGTACAAACGAAAGGAAATAACCGATTAGAAGTAACCATGGTTTTTGTGTTGATCTCATACAAGTGCGCATGAATGAAATGATCAAACGAGGCAATGTTAATAATATTAAAATAAACGGTGAATATAAAATATGTCGATGTTGTTGAATTTGGTATCTGAGATGATCTTTCAATGTTTCTCCACGTTGAACTCCACGTCGTCTATACGCTAATTTTATAATGATCCAAAGAGAAGATATAATATTAATGATAAAAGGTATAAGGAAATGAAAAAGAGTTATAACTGAATTGTATTTTTCAATCAAAGATGAATATCGAACGAAACACCAAATTCTACGTTCATCAATATCGAAATCATCGATCAACTCGCGACGAAGCGGTTCATGCACATGTGTCGACGTGACCAAGATGATTATAATTATGATGATCCGTTTTGAATATCGAACACTTGTCGTTCTTCGGAACCGAACACCCATAATAACACTGAACATTCTTTCAATTGCTACACAGCAATTCAACCATTCACTTAACCCGAGAAATATTCGAATAAGAACATCTACTATCAAGCAATTCCAATGAAGTAATGTTCGATTGATAATGAACGATGTTTGAGACAGAAGTAAAAACCAAAACTTATATGTTAAAAGAATTATCGTTAATATTGAAACAATTGATGAAGATAGAAGATAATAACCACTTCCTACCCGTTTGACTTTACTTCGACGGAATGTGACAAATGCTAATAAACCATTGCAAAATCCAACAAGGAAAAGAGTCGAACTGATAAAAATACTTATTTTAATGAGTAGTGATTGCCGACCAATGGAAACTTTTGGTTGAATATGATACGCAAGAATTGTATCAAGCGATAATATAAAACCGCTCGTCGAAAATTGACATTTGTTACCATAAAAACAATCCTGGCAGATACAAGTCCATTTGGATGGACAGGTCGCATTATTTCGAAGACATCGACCTTGATTTTCACAGTAATTATAATCTGAACAATCATGATTGATTGTATGGTTAAATAAAAAACAATTGGCAAATCGATCTTGATCACACAAACACATATGTTCGGGATCGTAAAAGCATTTTAAGTCGAGATTTTGTCGGCATAGTAATGGATAATATTTTACTCGCCGAAAATATTCATAATGTCGAAGGCTTTCATTCAGTTGATCGATGGACAAACAACGTTGTTCCCTTTGTATTTTTGTACGAATATATTCCGAAGGTTGAAAGACTTCTCGAAGAATTGCTAAATAATAAGAATTCGGATTTGGAATTTCTAGGAAAAGTATATGAAATGGTTTTGTGATATAATTTGTCAAGATTTCCTGACTCGGAGTGAATTTCTTCCATAAAATTTGTCGTTCATGGTCAGTATGATCAAATGCTGTGATGAAATGTAATAATAAAAGTGTTGTAGCAGATCTTATTTCATCATTTAATACTATATCAATACGACTATTTTTGATTTCACATCGTTTTCCTGAATAATCTTCCGGACAGAAACAAGTAAAGCCGTTCAAAGCCATTCGATCATCACTTGGAACACACTTTCCACCATGTTCACACGAATTGTTTGAGTTTGCTTGACAAATCGAATGTTTTAAATAACAATGTGAACCAAATCTATTCAACGGACAAACGCATATCGATGACGTTAAACAGAATGAATCATTTGCGCAATGGCATTCATGTTTAAAATTACAATAAGTACCGGAATATCCTTGCTCACATAGACAAAAACTCAACGACTTCTCATTGATGTAATTCATACATTTACCGTGTTCGCCACATGGCAAAGTACATATATCCCGATTTTGCAAATCATGAATAGTAATTTGTGCTGCAATTCGATTGACGGGCAAAAATTGAAAAGATATCGGTAGGTGCCAACTAGCCCAATAGGTTAAAGATGTTTTCTCATAAATATCAATACGAATTGAATAATTCTGCGTTAAAGATTTCGGCCGATCTGGATACAACAAATAAAGATTATACTTCTTATTACATTCACGCGCAGGCATATGAGTAATTCGTTCGTGATATGATCCAATTTGTCCGTATTCATTAATAAGCATGATAATCAATTCGAATATAGCCATTTGAAATGTTACACTACGCCATACGATTTGAATAGTTAAACTAACACGTTGATTTTGCCATTGACATTGCGATCCAAAATAATTTGGTGGACAAAAACATGTTTTTGTTTGATTTGAACCCTGTAATGCGAGAATACCACGATGACAATATGAAATGGATTCAGTATCGATACCGGTTAGGACTCTTTTAGTTGGATTCGTTTGTGATAGAACGGGCTTCGAATGATTGACTGGCGATGAAGGCAAATATCCTAATCGAGATGTTTTAAGAAAACGAGGAGTATTTTCCCGAAAAGGATTAAAAGTATGCCTACAAAAATTGTCGTCATTCGGAATCAGTTTGGTCGGGTAATCGATTGACCAATAGAAATAATCGATCGAAAAATAAAGACAAATATTTTCGGTGGTTGACGAATTCAATCGGCAGAGTTTCTCTAAACTGACACATTGACTATGATTCCAAGAGAAGTAATCTTCACTAATATCGTCTGTTCCATTATAAAAGTAAACACTACGTTCTACAGGTAATGTATCACATGAATTGGAATATTTATCGTACATATTACTCAACGGTATACAATACGATCTTCCCGATTCTTCGTTGTGGCATTCGAATTCATTAAAAAAACAGTTCGAGTATGGACAATTAAGTTCATCGATGCCATTGGAACAATCCAATTTCTTATCACAACGTGTGTAAGTATTATTGCAAGGCCACCAATGGCAATTTGTTTCATCTGTTTCATTCAATGGATAGTAATAACTAAGAATATTTTCATCTCGATTACATATGTATGGATAAGTTATTAGTACAGAAAAGTCTTGGGTATAGGCGAATAGTTCGTCTTCATCATCAGGACAGCTTTTTGTTTCATCACCCATTGCAACTTCTAGTAAACATTTCGTTGGATCTGATAAACATTGAAATCGATTGGAATCGTTCAAATTACATGTATTAAATTGTTCATCTTCGCGATTATAACAGTCATTGTGACCATCGCCAACATGATTGTAGGAAATACATTTCATGGATTCATTACAATAGAAATTCGTTGAATTTTCACAAGACAAATCGATACCCATTGTTTGACAGTAATAATTGTAATGTGCAAATGCACTAAATACGTCATTAAAGTCGGTTAATTTATAAAATGAAAAATTCACAGGGGAAAAACACGTTAATCCATTTATATGTTGAATGGGACGTGTTTCCATTAACAATACAGGACATGCTTTTGCTGGAAAGCATACGAGATCAGGTTCTATCGATATTTTGAAGTCATCAACTGATCGATTCGTAAAATAAACAAATTGAAAAAAGCCGAATAATTTAGGAACGGTAGGTATTACCAACCATTCCGATTCACAATGTTCAGATAAAGGTTCACAATCTTCGTTTCTAATATCTTCTAAAATTGGATTTATTCCTACACTTGAGCCATCTACACCTCGAAAACCAAATGTTCGATTGGCATGCAGTGCACAGTAGAACGCTTTTTGGCAATCAATACTTAAAATATGTTCCATGTTTGTAAGCAAAGCAATCGATACTTTCTTGTCTTTCTCGTTTGGACACACTATTCTACTATCTGGTAAAGCATTATTTTGAATATAGCCTCCTTCATCACATTGAAAAAAATTCGGATGTCGACCAATGATTTCATAGCATCGAAACGGTGAGTTAAATTCACAATTAGAGATTCTTAGTGGCGTATTAAGAAGAACATATTCACCTTCATCACTTCCATCAAGACAGTCAATACTAAATCTGTTATCTTTTAAAAAACTGCGTGGAATACATTGCCCACCATAATGGCATCGATATTCGTTTTCATTACATTTCGTCATTTCTAATCGATCGCAAAATTCTTCATCTGCACCATCTAAACAATCAAATTTTCCATCACAAATATCGCTCCAATGAAGACATAATGGCCATGATCTTCCACTGCAATTCGTTAGAAATTGGTAACATGTTCCATGAGAAATATTTCGTTCAATCTCATATTGCTTTGCCCTGGTCATATCAATAATCGTTTCGAATGATAACTTTTCGTCGAAAACAAACTTATATTCACACATTGAACCAAACCAAGGTATTGAACAATTATGAAATACATCAGATTCGTTGATAAATCTTTCATAATTTTCTGCAATATCAATAGGTGAAAACCACTGAAGTAATTCTTCACTAGTTATATGTCCATTTTTACATTGTTTAAAACTGTATGTTTGTACAATATTTTCAAGAACGGGATATCGAAGTTCACCTTGCTCTTCATTTTCATCGGGTCGCCGACAATAAGGAATTAGATGATCGTTTTGTAGATAGACTTTTCCAAGTTCTTTTCCACTGTCGACTAAATGAGCGTACAAACAATCGTAGATTCGAGAGGAACCTTGAAGAATAGTTGAATGATAAATAAAATAAGATGTGTCTACTGATATACACAGATTGAGAAGGAAGGTCGTGGTTAGTATAATTATCATTTTGTAATAAATGGAAATATTTCAGTGCAAAAATCAGCGTTTCTTTATCAAACTTTCAGAAGCATATGCGTATACATTCTTTTCTGTTTTATATTTTAATGCGCTTCGCAAAATCATAACTTGCCGCATTTCCTTTACATGCACTCTCTGGAAGGAAGAGAGAAATTTAATGTAGCATCTGCGTATAAGGCGAACAAACACGGCATTGCAAATGCTTATATTAATGCCAAATTTCTAATATAATGATATGAACTTATAGTTGAAGTTCATTAGCTGACTGCAGTTAAGACATACGAGTATTTCTCATTCTCATCCATCGTAAATGTTATTGTGCTTCTGAAAAGAAATAGAGTATTAGGTTGCTAACAAGGTTCTTGCGTTTTCTTTGAAAATGTTCTAAAACATTCTAGAAAGTTTTCGAAGTCTCCATACTGACAGTATATAAAGGGAGTGTGAATATCTTCCGAATGATAATAAAGTCATCAATATGGGCGCTGATCGTGAACTGGAAATGAAGCTTTCTCGCAGAGAGATTTGAGTGCTTTTACTTGATGAATTTCGTTTGGGTCACAAAGCAACGGAAGCAGTCAACAATATCCCAGGTCAACAAATCCGATGCTGGATCCGACCATCCGATCGGATCCGAGTACGGGATCGGGACGGGGTAGAGCTTTTCGGGACTTAGCCAACCATAGCATCTCGAGTTGCAATTATCTATTTATTTAAAAATTCGGTATAATCATTCTTAAAATAGACTAAAAACCACGCTTCATTTGTCAAGAGAAACGATGTTGATAAGAAATAAGTAAAACTGAAGAGACAACAAATTTCGATCACTCTTTCAGCTCCTATTCATTTGATCCAGTATCGTGATCTTCGATTCGATGTTTCTTCGATATCAAAGGTGTAATTTGTTCACCTTCATCGTCATTACCGGACTCACATTCATAAAATGACTTTCGTTTATGACCTTCGCTCTTTTTTTCATCTAATTTTTTCAATGATTGAAGATTTTTGCGAAGAAAAATGAGTTTATTGAGTCGATCGGGATCGAGTCTAGTACGTTTGTCTGTCATTGTCATTTTCGAATGTGAAAATAGCCTCTCTACTTCTGTATTCGAAGCCGGAATAGCTAAAACCTTTCTCGCGATTGCATGTATATTTGGAAACTGATTCTTGTTGTTTGTCCAATATTCGTAAGAACAAAAGAAGAGAAAGAACATCGGTGTGAAGCTAGCACGAACAAACGATGTGTTAGCTAAAAGCTTTTTTACTAAATATGTCCCGTCCATGAAAACTACACCATTCAACTCAGAATTTAATTCTGCATCGAATGATGATACTTTTATTCACCGGACAAACTTTGGAAAAATTTTTATCCGTATGTTTGTTCGTTTCATTTAGATCTATTTAAAGTCCAGAACGAATTTTTCCAAAGTTTGTCCGGCGAAGAAAAGTGCCATCATTCGATGCAAAATTAAATTCTGAGTCGAATGGTGTAGTTTTCATCGACGGGACATATTTAGTAAAAACGTTTTTAGCTAACATATCGTTTGTTCGTGCTAGCTTCACATCGATATACTATCGGACCATTAAATACTTACAATCGACTAATGATATAAACTATTAAAACATGTCTTTTTAATGAAATAATAAAGGATATTAATGAATTATAAATAAATCTTCAAAATATTCATTTAACATCGACGCTTGAAGTTATTCTTCATATGTATATACTAAAAATATCGCGTACCATTGATTTATTGCTATTGAGAGACCATATTCATCACAAAGAATCATGTGGTATAACTCTCAAGGACATGAGAAAAAAAAACAAAGTATCGAATTTTGATCGTTTGCAGAGAGAATAGTTTTAGTTGAGTTCTATTTTAAGATAAGAATGATCAAAAGCTCTAAAATTTTCAATATAAACTATTCTTATCTAGACAAATTTTCAATTCAAAACTTTGTTTTTCCTTGTGATCTTGAGGAAGACCGCGAGATCCTTTCTGATGCATACAGTATATTCGTAACAATAAGTCAATGGTACGCGACATTTTTAGCATATTTGTGATTCATCATAACCCTAAATAACGCACACTATATCGATTCAAAAGCGCGTTAGAAGTTCGGGTAGTTTTCCTCATCAAAGTTCACAGTAACATCAACTATATGATTATATGCATCATAGTTTTTTATAATGAAGAAACGAAATATAGTCATGCATCATTAACTTTCTCTTCATAACATGTATTAAAAGAAAGAAATAGTATATCCAATAAATGATTATTTTATGAATAATAATGCAGAAATCATATCGAATAATAATTCTACTATTTCTAATATTATTAATAATAACTCTATTTTTCCGTCATAAGTTATTCAATATAAATTTTAATAAAAAATTTTCAATGGATATTAAATGTTATTGGTCATTTATAAATTATACATCGAATAATTGGGAAAATATGTGGTTTGATAATATTGAAATGTTTCAAAATAATGTTTGTGAACAATTATCGAATGATGAAAATTTAAATAAAACAATTTCAATGATAGAATTAATAACAAAATTACAAAAATTAGGTCGATATGATACAAAGATACATATTAATGATATTTTTTCATTAATGTTTTATCGTTATGAATGTATTAATCTTCATACATTCAAAATATCAAATATTATTGAAGTATCACATACAATTGAACCTTTAATAGGTTTATTACGTGATCCATTTAGTATTTGTCCACATTTAGATCAATCATTAGTACCTTTATCAATTTATAATGAAGCTCATTTACAATCAAAACGATTTATTTTATTATCAATATCAGCACCATATTATACACATTCTTTATTATCAGATTCAACACATTTAAATGATATAGGTTTTCCATAAAAGACATCTAAACAAATGAGAAAAGGAAGGGTCGTAGGAAAACGGGCAAGTCTGCACAGATGGGCATCTCTAGGCTTTTCCTTTTCTTATTATCTTCCCNCATATTATTGTTAAATTAGATATTGATACAACTCATTTAGAAAATATTTTAATTAATCAAATATTAATTGATTCAACTATTCATTGTCTTATTGATGAACTTCTATTTGAACATCATGTTAATGTGAAAGAAATGATACCTTATTGGGATGATACATCGAATTCATTAAAAGATTCATATTTATTATTTACAAAATTAAGACAACTTGGAATCAGAGCACATTCATGGCCATAAATATGAGATACACGAAATTTATATTGATCAGAAGATAATTAATAAATAGTCTTTACACAGAATATTTGTTCATTTTTCAGTCACTAAGAAGAAATTTGAAAAATATTCAGTTAGAATTAGGATTTCATGCTCTTTTTAACTATGTGTTCAGAATTTTTCTCGGAAATAAAATGAAATAATTGTTAACAAATCTTTAATAGGAATTTAAAATGATTGGTTTCGATGATATATGAGTTTCTTTTGCGATTTTTTAATGTTTATATATAATTCAAACGAATCAAAACTACTTGATTATGGTCGAAGTTCAATGCGCTATTTCTAATCTTTTCTTTTGTCAAATAGTTAGTTGTAAGAAAAAATTCTTGAATGAAAAAGAACGTAACCTAAATATAATATGATCAATCTTCATCTTCTCATTTGTCTAAAGAATGATCAGGAATAGTTCTAACTATCTATGTTGTGCAGATTTCAATGAGTCAAAGCTTAAAACCATTAAAACGCGAAAGCTAATTGCATGATAACATCTCCTTAAACAAAATAAATCAGGTAAATTGTAACCTCGTTCTACAAAAGTGTGACCTTAAGAATTGAATTGAGGCGATTTTAAACAAAATATACAACTATAGCCTGTGAAATATTCTGTACAAACATCATTTTTAATTCTTATTAAAGCTTTGTTAACAATGATTTCATTTTAATTTCGAGAAAAAAATCTGAACACATAGTTAGAAAAAGGATCAAATTCTAATTGACTATTTTTTGAATTTTAAAACTGTTCTGTAAAGAAAATAGAAGTTATTTGTAATAAATTTTGCGTTCTTACAGAACAATGAAAGAACAATAAAACATTATTCTCTCTCTTAATCCTTTCGAGCTCAACAATTTCTTGCGTTCTATATGAACATGAAAAGGAAAAGAAAGTCTCTCTCTTTGGCGTTCAATCAGTTGTTTTCGAATATAATGTGATTATCGTGATACAAGAAACATTTGAGAATTTTGTTCAGACATATATGATATTTGCCTTTTAAGGAGACGAGAAAACGAAATATATTTCTTTTGCGTTCTGTCATGTCATCTACGAGATGATATTGGATCTGAAAGGGTCAGTGAACATGTGTAATTATATACGACAGAACGAAAAAAACCATAGTTCATTCTGTTTATGATTCAATTGAAATTAGTTGGTTTATTCAAGAAGTTATGATATAGAATTAAAGAAAAAAAATTATGTTTATGTATTGATTTAGTTTTTTGACATTAAAAAATGAAGTATTTAACCATAGGTAAGAATAAAATCCATGAAATAAATTGAGATTTAATTGCTAAATTCAAAGATTGATCAATCGTTATTGGAGCCATTTGTAATATTGATATTAATTTTCCATTAATTATATTATTACTAATATTTATCGACGGAGATGTTAATTGATCAATTATATTAAAATATGGTGGTAATGATATTGTTGGTAATAATTTAATATCTTGTGCTTTTAATTGTAAACATGCATATAAATTACAATCTGTATCGATTAAACCAATAATATAAGGACTAAATCCAATTGGACATATATCAGAATTATTTGTTTGACATGAAAATATTCCACCAAATTTAAATATATTTGGTGGATTTACAATTTGTTGTGTAAGACAAATATTGATACCATTAATTAGTGATACAGGTGTAAAACCTGTTTGACATGATTTTTCATTAGTAAGAAAATTAATTTTATTTGATGAATATGAACCACCAAATATATATTGACTTAATCCAGAATTATTTTTTGTACAACTATATAAATTTATTGTTCTTGTTGCTATTCCAATTGGAGTAGATCTTGTACATGTTGATAACCATAAAAATCCACAACCATAATTTTCAATTTTTTCAATTGATAGTATTTTAATCGATGAATAAATAAGTGTTTTACTAAAACTAGATGGACATTGTTCATTATTTGTATAAAAATTTGTTTTTTTTAAATCATTACACATATCATTAAGACGATATGTTGAATCATTATTTGAATTCCATTTTATATCACAAGAAAGAATAAGACCAGCAAATTGTATATTAGCAACATTTTGATTACATGTTTTATCATTAATATTAGCAATCCAATTGAATGAATTAGAAGTTCTGTCCATACAACCATAGATAGAATTTGTTTCAATATAAGTATTAATTGCTTTATTTATTTCTTTAAGTGCTTCATTAGAGATCATCTATAAAGGACATTCAGGTAAAAAACGTTTTTTTGGTCAAACACAATATGAAAGAGCATCACCGACAGTGACAACAACGTATGGTAGTATAACTTGCCCCCGTCTGTCTCACTCGAATCTTATAATTAGGGATGCGCAGTTTCCGTGCAAATACTGAAAAACTGTCACTATCAGCACCGACAATGATGTACTGTGGTACTGATATCATTGATAGTGAGAGGACCGCAACACTGAGTGCATGTACTGTCAGTATTATTAGTACCACCACAGCGCGTGACTGTTAGCACTATCAATATTCAGTAAACCGAAACTGCGCATCCTTACTCATAATTTTATGCTAAATTTTAACGACATTAAACCGTGTGTTGAAAATCTCGATAGATTTTGCTCAGAAGTCGTAACAAATGAATTAAAAATAATAATGCAAGCTACAGGTGAACATCTTTTCACAAATGTTAATCATGTTTAAGGATCTATATTCGTTCTGATTATTAGAAATATCAAACAAAAAAGGGGAGGAGGGCAAGCGAGACTTCATGGTTTAAATACTTTGCCCGTACTTCAAACACTTCTTAAAGTATATAAAGTCTCGCTTTTTTCCCTTTGAGAAATCCTCCTCGAAAACCTATAAAACTCTATCAGAACAGGAAAACTAAAATGATCGTATTTCACATTTTTAATCCCACAAGGGTTTGCGCTGACAAGCTTTTCTTATAAAACGTGCGAAAATGTCTATAACCTCTCTCTGAACGTCCTTTATGAAAGGTTTCTTGACATATAATGATTCAATTTCAGTTATTTGTTTTATATCAATTGCCATCGTTAAATTTTCAAATGAACGTTTAAGTATAACCGGATTATTTTTCACTGTTGATTGCCATTCTGATAATGGCATATTCATAAGATATGCTTCTCCACCATAAGCAACAAGTTTTCGATTAATAATTTGTTCTTGAAATTTTTTAATATTATTATCTACTGTTGTACTTTTTATTGAACTACTAAATGATAAACCAAGTTCTGATAGAAAATTTAATTTCGCTGCAATTTCCATTGATAACATATTTGCATCATTAGTATAAAAATCTTTTGTTCGAATAAAATTATCTTGAATTATTTGTCCACCAATACGTATACGATTTGTATAATGTGTTCCATAACGAAGTATAAGCATTTGTGAAGCATAATTAGCTTTTATTAATTCACCTGTTTTAATATAATTTGCTATTTGAATTATTTCAGATTTAAATTGAGAATCTAAAGAACAACTCGGAAGTAACAAAACATCAGCGAAATCATAACGAATTACATTTCGTAATGTTGTTGTATTATCTCTTGCTTGTTGAGATTTTATATTTTGATATGTTGGAGAAAACGATCCACCAATACCAATACCAGTCTCTGGTAAAGGAATTTCACCACCAAGATTTATTTCTAATTCATATGTAGTTGTTGAACTATTATATAAATCAATTAATTGTGATTGAATATCAAATTCACTTTGACGTAATGGGATATGTGTGATACATTGTTGCATTACTGTTGAATTATATGAATTACGAATATCAAAGATAGGTAACATATCAAGAAATCGTAAATGATCCCATCCATAGCCAGGATATAAATCAATTTGTAAGATTTCTGCAGAAATATTAACAATAACAAGTAACAATATTCCATTGATTTTAATCATTTTTAAAAAAATCTTGCTATTTTGATCACTATTTATAGCGAAATATTCGAATTGATGATGTGTGATTTTTATTGAAAAAGGAAGTCATATAGTGATCGAGGGTATAATTAACATTGAATCATCACAGTATGTCTTTTATTATTGAATAAATCGTATTATTTTCCATCCTTTACAAAATATCAGACAGATCAACGTAGGAGATAAATTCATAAAGAAAAGGAAGTGATCGAACAAAACAAACTATTATTTATGACAATTTTCTCAATTAGAAATCTTATTTTGATCAGCGGTGTTTCGAGTGTGAGGCGCTGGGACCTCGACACTCGGTCAATAATCAGAAATTTCTTATTTTTTGCTCGCAAGTTTTCGGACTTTTTCCAGTAGTGTCAAACTCGAAACTTGAATTCAACTATCTCTTCAGCTATTCAACTATTATACTTGAATAGTTAAACTCTTCAACTATGTCAACCATTCTCGAATCCACTCTTTCAGTAGCCACACACACCTTCAAGAATTATAGAATTAGCACAGAAACAGAAAATATGCGGATTTTTCGGAACGAGCGCTCAGACGATCTTCGCTAATGATATTTTCTATGCCGAATTATGCAACCAACGGAGATCACACTTACCCTCACCCACACCCACCCTTATGTAGTCTTTGAGGTGATTTCTGACACATAGTAAATGATTCCGCTACGTAGCAAAACGATTAAAACAATGTTTGTTTTAGTTGAACTATTAATTCTTTGTTCATTTCCGATTCTGTTATTATATATCAATCAAATAATTATCGTTTTTACTAAAACTTAATCAGAGATGCCTATCTGACGTATTTATTTAGAATATTCTCCTCGACAAGTTCATTTACTATACTATATATATTTCGTCAGTGTGCTTGCTTTTACTCGCTTTCACTTTTATCTGAACTGAATTTGATCATGTTTAATTTCGTGACATCATTTTGTGTAGCAGACTATTCATCATCGCTATACCAGTGTGCGATTTTCTATTGGTGCAGACTGTAAATCTCCAAGTGTTGAGAAGAAACGGAGTCTATTCTTGTGAAACAGAAAACTTATGGCAATCATCAAGTCTATGAGAATATTAAACTTTCAAAGTATTTCAATCATTCAACTACTCGCCATTCCACGCACTCTGATTCTTGGATTGTCAAAATGAAATATATATCATTCCCAACAAAAATTTGAATATTTATTAATCACAAATTCATGTTTCTCGTTCCATTACAGTTTGATCAGGATGAATTCGATTCTGTTGCCACCGAATCATATGAATATCATATAAAACATATTTCGCTTGACGACGAAAACGTTTTGATACGCAAATATATGTAAAAAATGAATTCTAAAAGGATAAAAACAAAATACCATTTTCTTTTCCGAAATCAAAATCGTTTACTCCATTGGTTAAAATATTCAAAGTGAGTGTGACAGCATTGATTAAATTCCATTGAGCAATAAAAACTGGATCGCGATTTGTATTCAACAATAAAAATCCATTTGTAATTGAATAAGGTATTTGTGTAAAAGCATAAACACAGATTTCAACGAGAACCATTATTGTTAATTGTTTATCCAATTCATGACGTACCAATGGATTTGTTCGAGTTGTTAATGTTCGCGTATTTCGATAGGCCATCAATCCAAATATTACTGCAACCAAGGGGAAAAGATTGGTTAGCGTAAGAAAATATCCATAAATATGATATTGTAGAAAAACAGGATCAACTGATATACAAATGGCAGTATTTATTGGAGATAATTGTCGAAAATATATCACGTACAATATACCATGACAAAACCAAATAACGGAAACGAGAATTGTAAGACGATGAGCAACTTTAATATTTGACCATTGTTGCCATTGTTGACGAGCGCAAGTTGCCAAATATTGATCAATTACGGCTAAACATAAGAGTGTAACTGCATTAATAAGACATGATAACGCCACAAGACTTCGAATTTGACAATAAAATACAATAAGTGAAGTCCAATTGATTGTAAATGCCATCGAAATTACAACTAATGTCGTGCTAATTATTAATCGAATAAAATTAAATGATGACATGGAAAGAAGATAAAATGCACAAGAATTTTGTCGAAATGTTTTTAAACTAAGAAAAATAGTAATTGTGAGAAGTTCACTCATGAAACTTAAAAAATAAACTGGAATGGTAACATAGCGAGCAAATTGAGATCGAGAATTATAAAGTGATGAAATATAATCTGCATTCATTTTTAAAAGTATGTGAATAAATGAAAAGAATTCAGCTTTTAGGTCCAACTCCTATAGAAAAAGATTGTTAAGGATAATTTCTCATTTATGATAAGTGGACAGGAAATTAACGTTGAGTTTCTTACCTTTGAACTCAACACAAGTGTTTTCGATATATTATCTTGAAAGAGATATCTTGAAAATTAATAAGATTATTGGTTAATTAAAAAAAGCACTCTTTGTCACATTCGATTGTATCTTCGCAGATTTATCACACTGACTGAATCATTTCATAGTTTCTCGGCTTGTTTGTCATTCAACACAAGATGTACTCATGAGGCACAATACATTTCTAGTTATTACTCAATGTTGATCAGGACTTCTAACCTTCGTAGTTACAGTTATTTAAGTGTTACTGACACATTCAAAAAATGTTTTTATTTTCTAAACATTACTGAAAAATATAGCTGAAGGCAAGACAAAAAAACCAGATATATCTGTGTATGTGTGATGAATAGCATATCTATTACCAAACACACCAAGCAAAGAGAATCTAAGCAGATTAGTTTGGATTTCAGAAAGAGGTCATGTCCTTGATTTATTTTACAGATATCACAAATAGGAATGACATTAGTGTTGTCAAGGTAACTTATTAATAAGATGAAATCTAAGAAAAGAGTGGATAAATGAAAAGCTAGCTACGTCAAAATAAAGACCATGAAATTTGTTTTCTTGATCATCTCTATAACTGACATGACATTTCTTAAAATGATAATAAAATAGTTGAAAACGAAATATTCGTCAATAACTCACTTTAAGCCAGATTGTATTCATCGGTGTGAAGCTAGCACTAAAAGACGATATGTTTGCTAATTCTGCATCGAATGATGATACTTTTATTCACGGGACATATTTAGTAAAAAAGTTTTTAGCTAACACATCGTTTGTTTGTGCTAGCTTCACACCAATGATAGGATTAGATACACTGAAATGCATCGAAACAAGACCTTATTTTCAATTATCAAAGGATTAAACATCATAATCAACGATGACTATACATTGAGAAGAATGAAAAGTGTAATTTCATTCAAACAAAGAAATTTTCTTATTCCATTTGAATTTAGATTATGAAGATGAGAACCAGAATAGAATATTTTTTCTTTATCCTTTTAAGGTAATTCATATCTTGTCTCGTTTTCCGACTTCTTTAAAACTAAATGTATTTTATTTTAGTTGTACAGGTTTATTTATTATCTCAACTTATACCATGTGAATCATTACAAGAATGTTCTGATTCAAATTATATTTGTATTCGTCACTATCGATGTAATGAACATTCGATTTGTTACCCGAGATCAATGAAAAATGAAGACATTTGCCTTTCAATGCTAATTCGTAAGTTCAAACTGCGAATAATCAGACCTAGGATAAACGAAAACTAATAGAAATTCTAATGCCAAAACGTTTCTGGCTTGAAAATATGTAAGTTATATACATTTCCTTTTTTAGGAATAATATGGAAGAAATGAATACAAGAGGAAAAACGGTTGCTGGAGAAAATGAATGAGGACGTCGAGTTAATTAAATTGGTCCTATTTTTATCTTTGTTAATGGTGAACAATCGATTTATGTTACAGATATTTCGAGTCATTGTGTACTGAAATCGAAAAAAATATGCAAAAAAGATGGGATTGTAGCTAGAAAAAATGGTAAAAGAAAAATCTTAATCAATTGAATGATCCTTTTGGATTATTTGTCGATTATGATAGACAGATCTGTGTGACAGATGCCAATAACCAATGAATAAGACGTTCGACCGAAGGAACGAAAGAAGGTGAAATAATTATTAGTGGAAATGGATCGGGATAATATTCGAATCAATTGTCTCATCCCACTACTTTAGCTGTTGATACGGAAGGAAATCTTTATGCTAATGATTGGATAAATCACCAAATCCAAAAATTTGATTTAATTTTATGATGAAAGCTAGCCGAGGAATCTGGTGAGAAACAAGAGATACCTATGTCGAACGTCTTATATGTTGAAAAGCTACAACAGATAGAAAAACCAGTATAATTCAAATTCTTACGCTTACGGTCCTTATCTTTCTCGCTGTGCATCGCACAAAACGGTACTTTCAGTTATATCTCTAAATGTAAAAGAGTTGCTGTAGCGAATTCCTGCATCAGCAATTATTAAACATTTTCTCTTTCACTGGCATTCATTCTTCGCTCTACTCGTTCACTCATTGACCTCATTCTCACTCTCCCGTCATTTCGTATGTTAGATCCATCGTATTCGCCTAATCCGTCACCCACACCCTTTTCCTCCTTGTCATTTACAAAATTAAACGTTAAAAATGCATGTAATTACTTAATGAATAATTTTATGCTAAACTATACTTAAGAGTAAGAATATCGATAAGGATATAAGTACACCTGTTTACTCATACCTGCACCATCGTCTCTTATAGAAGATGCTCGGATAAATGTCTCGTGTTCTACTCTTAGAAAGAAAGAAAAAAAGTGAGTGATGGGATTTCTTTCTTCCAAGTAAATAAAAGAACGAAGAAGGTGGTGCGCGCATATAAATATCAATAAATAGCACATGTTTTCGAACAAAAACATAATCCATAAGCTATGGCTTCCTCTGATACTCAGTTGACAACGGGCGTGAATGAAGTGTACGATGAAAGATTTGAAGAAATCCACAATTCAGTTGAGAACACCATCGAATTATTTGATAATGGCAGAGGGTGTAGATCGGTGAAAAGAGGAACATTTGGATGTGTTCTTGGGCATCATTCATATTCATCCGGTATTCATCGTATTCGACTCAAATCGGACTATGGCATCACATTCTTCGGTATTCATTCACGGAGTAAACCACTGATACCGGACGAGATGGTATGTGGAAATTATGAATCGAACCCTTCTATATATGGTTGGGGTGCAAACGGCTACGGCATTTCGAACGGAATGTTTGCTCAGCGTACTTTTACAAATAAAAGCGCAGGCGTCATTTGTTTTGTGTTGATGCTGAACTGTGACGAACACAAATTAAACATCATCAACGAAAATACAAATGAACGAGGTGAATTGAATGTTGACACTAATCACACTCCGTTCCCATGGTGTTTATTCGTTCAAATTTCCAGAATGGGAGGTTGTGTTTCATTGGTTCATCCACCTTCTTTAACTTTCAAGCTATTCGTACCGAGTGCAATGTCGATGGCACCATCAACCATAAAAACGTTGGGTATGGTAAGTTCCATCATGCGACGCAATTGTCTTATCTGTCATTGTAGAGCATCCGATCATCGACACTGAGACTACTGATCCTCAGTTAACGTCAGCATTGGAACGTAAGTGAGATATTTCTCAGCAGTAATATTGCTCTTTCTATGAAATTTATTGCTCTTCATGCTGTGCAGTATGGCGTCAGGAAGCGTACCGAATGATCGATCACTATTGTGAGAAAAAAAGAGAAGAATTTATTGAATTACGTCGCGAACAGCAGACAGCGGTGAAACCGACCACGATGCAATCGATATTTTCCCCGCTAACAATTGATAATGATGAGATTTATTTTCGGTCGAATCGATCAGTGTCGAAAAATATCCTACCTTTTCAAAAAATCGGTACACAAGCTCTGCTAGAACAGAATCACGGTTGCATAGCGGCAAACGAACAACATTTTCTAATCATCCAAGCTGATATTCTATTTTTATACAAACACTCATGGCCACCGATCCGTGGTCTTCCATGGACATATGGCGAAATATATGATATGTTTTGGTGTTCTGCTCTTGATCAATTTATTCTGATCAGCGAACAGCATCTCCTTGTTTTCGATGCCAAAACAGCCCAACTTAGTCCATTACTGCTGCCTGACAATCCAGAAACAATAAATTTCTATGGTGGTACATGCATAGGAAATGTTCTATATTTGTTTACGTGGGGTTGGGGGTCGTCTATACATGTATATGAGATTCGATCTATGCTTGAACTGAAAAGAGTATATCAGTCTCCTTTTCCCTGTACAACCGACGAACTGATTATGCATTGTACATCGAATTATCAAGCATTGGCTATGGTTATTAAAACCTGTCAAGATGAAATCTATCTGAATCTGTATTCCCCAACGAACATGGAACGATTCTGGTCTCTAAAATTAGACTTGGTAGCTGGTCATCGAAATATTCGATGTTGTTCAGTGAACGACAATGATTGGATGGTTATTTCTCCTGATTCATCATCACTAATTCATATTTCTGCCGAAGGAGAGCTAGTGAACAAGATTACATATGATCCTGTGCCTTGGTACGGAATTTCACTGAAGAACAATGATATTCTGATTTTATCAGACAATACTATGACAACATACCCGCAATACTAACACTGTTTGATGCTTAACATTGTCTCGATCAATTCGAAATAATGCAAGACAAATAAATGAGAAGACATGATATGAGAGAAACACGCACACTGTAGAATCACTCGAAAAAAAAACTGCTGTGGGAAATGTCTAGAATAGGTATTGGATACAACGGATCCTAGTGTTTAATACTGCGTCTTTTGTGATTAGAAACGTTTTTGTTGCTCAATGTATATGTATTAACATGGCTCATCTTGTTATTGGCATTTATTGTTAACATCAACGATTGCTGTTCTTTATCAGGTGATAATTGACTATGATGTTGTTTTCTTGTTCGTGAGCGATCTGATTCATTTGTTTCATCTGATTGGTTGTGTAATGATTCGTAACTTGGATTACAGAAGATAATATTTTCAATGCTATTGTCTGATTGTATCTGTAGAATTGGCTGGTAATGGTTCGATTGATTGTTCTACTTGGCTATTATCAGTAGCAGGTAATGATGGCGAGTAGTTCGGCTGTTTGTGATCTTTCTCCATATGTAAATAAGATGCATACGTGATGAATTCACTATCTGAATCACAATGCTGTAAAAGTATTTGATCCAAATGAAATCGTACCATATTTTTAGCAAACTCATCCGAGATAATTACAATCAATATGAGACATGAGTAAAACATTCCAAAAACAGTCCGTTAATCAACCGAAAGTGAGAAAAAGTTATATGAAAATCTAGAGCATGAGTATATGACTGTTTATTCATGGTTTAGAGAACGATATACTGAAAATAGGCGTAAAGTGCGACAGTACAGCATAAATTCAGGTATTCAGTTCGTTGTGATCGACTTGTTTAGATTCTGTTGTAGAAACGAACGTACTCAATCACTTTTTAACCGATCTATTCCACGTACATAATGCCAACGGTGACAATAACAACGGTAAAATGGGAGATAGTGGAAGAGGAAATTTAATTTGACCTATATAAATATGACGTATAGCAAGACTAATGGTGATAATGAGAACCAGAACTATATGGGACCAAACAACGAAGTCACCGACAATATTTAAGAAAACTGGTGATAAATATCCGGCTGATTACGAAGCGACGCCGGTTTCTTTTAATGCCATTTTCGATGGTATCTTTTCGTAATTATGCTGTCTTGACTTTTCATTATGACTCTTATAATTAATCATTCCCTCGTATATTTGAACGCTAAAAATCACCAGTGTTAATATATCACCCAACAAAATTTGACCACGAAAAGACCAATCATCAAGTTCTAAACAATGGAATGACAGAATCTTCTTCGGTCTAGCCAATGAAATGAATTCCACTCACGAATATCAAAAAGTATTTTTAAACAGAATAGAATAAATGAGACTGAGCTTGTGCTCAGTACTGATTGAAATATGAAAACATATGTCAAGTAGAAAATCAAAATGAAAGCTAGCACACATGCACTCATTGCATGTGCAATAAATTCGAAATCTTTCCATCCTGGATACACCTTCTTGACACGTTTTTCGATACATAAACAACATTTTGAATACCAGCCAGAATTGTTAGTAGTGGTGGCAGCAGGATTCGTTGGATATAATTCAGGATAAGGTGTCGATGATTTGTCTGCGACTTTTGACTTTGCCTTACAATGAGCTGAACAACATGAATCACAAAGAAAGCGAACGGTCAATTCTGCACCAATATAGGATAACAAAAGAAAATAGGGTGTAATTTTCAGTACTTCATATATGGTCGTTCAAATAACAAATTCCTAAATGAATCATTTTTTCAAAATAGATCAAGCACTTTGAAGACATACCAAACGATGGCGTGCTTCGCCATACAGTGTGAATTGTTTAAAAACAAGTAAATAATCCATACAGTAACTTCGACAGATTAAAACATATCCAATATTGGCATGTATATTTAAACAGGAAGAGTCTTGAATGAGACGATTCAATTGTTGCAGTGAGGCAAAACAGGACCTATGAAACAGAGGAATTAACGCACGCTGATGTACGTTGGAGTGAAAGTATACCTTTCGTCTATAGTTCAGTTATATCGATGGCGAAACATTCCAGAGCCATAAGTACTTCAAGCTTAACTGTGACACAAAGAGCAGTTGTTGCACGTCGCTTGACTATAGCGAAAGGTTCGATGGGCGGTGGACAACCTCCTAAACTGGTCTAATGACATTCGATCAAATGAACGAATGTAAATTGGTTTACCTCTGTAGCTGTTGAAAGAACTTCGTTATAATAACAACGAACAAATCATATGCAAAAACAAATACGGAGAAAATCAGAAGAAACTTATGATAATCGATATCTCAAATTGATTTTTTTCTCGTACTTTGCTATTCGACTAACAAGCTTTTAAATTTCAGAATCAAGTTTTGCTGGATTGATTCTATGGGCAGGAAGTGACAGAGTATGCAAAATTATTGGAATGATATGTAGACTTACACTGATGAAACATGTGAAAACCTAACACTACAGCTGTGCGAGTGGAATTGTGCGCTTGTTTTGCACTGGAAGCTAAAAAAATGAAGATAAATACTATGAAGATTTGCAATCTACCTTTCCGACATCAACAGTTGTTTTCTTCCATCACTTTGTGTGTTGTTCGCCACGCTAGATGATCTCCGAGCACATCTATTCATATACAAAGGAATGCTGCTGCCATTCCGCAATAGCTCAATCATGTTGATGTCGATATGTCAAAATATTTGCTTGTCTTATCTTAAGATAAGCTTTTTAAAGATTTAAATTTAACGAAGGACGTCTTTCGTAATTCTAACAATATGCTATTGGCATTTTATCTCAACAAATCAAAACTTAAAAAGAAAATTTCCTGTTTGATCCCTTACGCAATTCCGTATTCACTAATTCCTATGCCTGCTTAGGATTTTCCCATCAAAAATGAAATTTAAGTATTTGCAGAAAACTCGTGTTTTCAAAGTATGAAAAACGGTGGCGAAAAGTAAGGATTTGGTCGACTGCGTTTTTAAACTAATAATACCAGTCATTATTTTTCACTCTGGAGGAACGATTGATCATCTTCGATACGTTCGACAAGTACTTCCCGTGGCTCAGAAGTGTCGAAGCGATACAACCCTTCAGACTACTCACGTCTTGGTCTAATCGATTGTATTAAATGTCTCAAAAAGATGGAGAATATTTTTGATAATAAAAACATCGTATTTCTTAATTCTGTGGACGAAAATATTTAGAAAACCCGATTTGGTAGGATGTGAAACGAACAAGATATTATCAAAATAGAGGATGACATTCTTTACAATCCACTTGCTATATCAGTCGTGTTGCTTGAAAACACTCGAAACGAAAGAAAATTGCATAAAGGTAAGTCGAAGAGAACTACAGTAATACAGATGAAATTATTTCTAATAATTTGATCCTGAATATATTAACGAACATCTCACATGCAGAATTTAACAATAAAAAAAAACGTCAAGTTTGTCGAAAAATACGTAATTGTATGTTGTCTACGTAGCATAACCCTGTATGGTGCATTCGGCCAAGAATTAGTGTTAAGTAATCTGTATCTACTGGTACTTCTCCAACGAAAGTGCGAGTAGTCCACTGAGATGTATTCGTCCCATGAATTGGAAACTCTAAATAAAACCAAGTAGATAGTGAAGTTCAGGCGGTTGACTCAATTGGAATCTACCTGATTTCGATATGGGCTCGCCTAACTCAGTACCGAAAGATATAGTTGCCGATAGAATTCCATCGATACAGTTAGCATCAATCAATAGTTCGTATCGAGCTTGTCTACTAGCAAATATGTACGAAAAGTTCATGACATCGACAACTTGAGAGACTTCTATGTCGTCGCCAGTGAGTGTGAAGTTCAAATGGCATTTTCCAAATCGAGTCTTACTAAAATTTTCGTTGAGTGAAGTGGTTGCATCATCTTTTCCCACTGGAAAAGGAAACCAATGACGTACGCCAGGGTTCGGTCCTGGAGGACACTAAAATCGCGAAATAGATAGTGGAATATGTCTAGAGTTATCACACTTACACATATTTCGGCATCCCCATTAGTAATTAAATTCCTCGTATCTATTTTCCATGTTCCGTTTGGTAAAATAACGTTGCCGAACTGCATCTGTCCATTATGAAATGCTGCTTGTAGATTTGCATTGTCTAATATAGAAGAACCGGTCATATCCGTGTTAACAATATGAATAAAAGCATAGGGATATAAGTCAAGATCGCGAAAATCAGTTAGTGTCAAATTGGTATTGGAAAAAGTGACATTTCCTTTGAATTGAGCGTTGCTAAAGTTCGCATAAGCTAAATCTGTTTTGAAAAAGCGGATATCACAAAAAGAGGTTTTCTGAAAATCGGCTCGTGTTAGTATAGCTTCGGCGAAGAAAAGAATTTCTTGAAGTTCTTCCGAAACTTTTTCGCAACACAGAAATTCAGATCCGGTGAACTTGACATCAGCCATTGTGGATAGATGGAAAGTGAACCCATGAGAAAAGATACTTCGAATGAATGATGCTCTTGTTAAATCTACAGATGGCAACGATAACTGATGAAATTGAAGTGTACTATAAGGAGTACTCTTGAGTGTAATGTTCGCTAGATTCGCTCCGAGAAGATTGAATGTTTGGTTTGAGTCGTCAATACCATTCTTATAAGAAATGCGAGGTAAAAGTTTGTTTTCATATAGAAACAGAAATAATCGTGTTTTTCGTTTCCAATCGAGATCATCTAAAGCAACCAATGTCTGACTTCGAATATAGGCCGACCGTGCTCGATCATCAGTAAATGTAGTTGTTTGCTGCTGTGATTGTTTGAAGATGGTGTTCGATATATCTGTGATGTAATTCTTGAAAACATCTTGGTTATGAAGCTCATCAGCTTGTTCTTGCTCTAAATTATATCGTCGATCATCTAGTTCACGTTCTTGCTGTTGACGACGATCGTCAGTCTCTTGCTGACGAACAGTGATAATCACGGTTACGGCACCGATCATCAATGGTACCAAAACGTTGAGTGCAACATTGGTCCAACTGAGGCATTTCAACTTTTTCTCTTCTTTTTTCGTCGATGTACTTAGACTTAGAGGTAATAACGCAGCTGAATTTCTTCGCTGTGCTCGTCGATATTTCTTATACATTTCGAAATACACTGAGTAAAGTAAAATTATTGATTTATTTTATACAAGTGCTGACCGAAAGCAACGACGCCGATCAAATATCTACGCCAATTTGATGACGGAAGGGTAGAGTCAACAAGATTTTATTTCACTCATGCTATAAAAACACCTTCGCTCGATATTGTAGTTATCCATGTCATTATTTATTCTTACTTAATCTCGGTCAAGTAAAGAGAACTATATGGATTACATTTTCAGTTGATAATGACATCTGTTGGATATTATATCTATTCAAAAGAAAGTGTCGTGTCTTGAAGCGAATGGATGTTTATTTGAAAATAAACGAAAACTGAACCAACAACATAGAAAGAACTGTGACTATATATAGGATCAGAAATAGAGAAATATCCAGAGAATATTCTCTAAGGACTACGACTATGTCTGCATGGAATATCCTTGTAGGATATCTATAGAAGGAGACATTCCAATGACGTCATTATATCACAGAAAGGATTAGCGATTACTTTTACCGATTGTCTTATTCCAGCCATTATATCGTGTTGATGACAGTATGGCTAAATTAGAAACATTACCAAATGAAATCCTGTGTGAAGTTTTTCAATTCATTACTACTCCACAGTTATTTCATGCATTTGACAACCTAAACAATCGATTCGCATATCTCATTCGAAATGTTCCATTGCATGTTGAATTCTCCCGAGTGACAAAGTCAAGTCATGATGTATTTTGTCGGTTAATTGCATCAGATGCAGAAGTGAAGAAAAATATCATTTCTCTGAGATTGTCAAATGATGAAACAGTAGGAAGAATTGAAGATTTCGTTTCAGCGATACCACTCAATCATCTTGATAACCTACGATCACTAACATTAGATCAAGTCGACGAAGCTGATGTACAAGTGCTATTACACATGTTACGATCGCTATCAAAACTATGTTACTTTTCTTTTCTCCGCAAGACAGAACTTGAATCTGACTGTATTCGAAGTGGATTTGGTGCTCCGGCGCCTCAACCATTGGATTTCAAATCAATTTTACCCTCAAAACATTTGCGAACATTATCCTTGCCGTATTTCATTTGTAATTCCATGTCGATACATGAAACATTGAATGTAACATCAGTAACATTATTTTACGCTTGTATAAATCATGTATTGCAATTATTTGTTAGTGTACCATTATTAAAACATTTCCGTATTCGAAAACTGACAAAACCTTGTATGCAAAGCGATGCACCGACGAATATTGATGTCAATGCTGTTCATCTAAACGATTTTTTACTTGATCGGTGTGATGTTGAATGTGACGAACTTGAATTCTTATTGACGAGAACACCGAATCTAAAAACGTTATCTCTATCAAGTTATTACGATGTTGATGAGCCTGTTGCATATTTCTGGCAAAAATTAATTGAATCATCGTTGAAACATTTACGTGTGTTTGACTTCTGTTTTCAATTTCATTGTAAGAGAGATTCAAGTGATGGTTTACACCTTTTTAATGAATTCCAGAATGATTTCTGGCACGAACAACATCATTGGTATACAAATTGCACCATCCAACGTGGCTATTCAGGAACAATTTACACTATTCCTTATTCAAGGAGTGAATATTACTTGGATTTACCGATAGATTTAGAGGATTCTGTCTCATCAAATGACCCAAGTACATTCAACAATGTCAGAAGATTGAGTATACGAAATGAACAAATTACAGATAATCTACCGTACTATTTTCGAAATGTTCAATCATTAATTCTCTCAAAAGAATGGCATGTCGATAAATATGAATTTTCCTATGTGAAATTTCTCTCTTCAATCGTTAACACATCAAATGTGACATGCTTAGAACTTCGTCCAGATTACTTTACGTCACAGTCAGAATTCTTAGATTTATTTAAAATATTACCTCATTTATCATCTTTACACGTACATCGAAAACACTTGAACAAGTTTTATGATGATATAAACTTATGTCAATACTTGAAAGGATTGTACATTAAAAAGTTAGATGTTTTTGTTACTTCTTATCAGTCGTCATTCATTCCTGATCGAATCACCGTAAAGACTTGTCAACTATTTCCATATCTTGAAGAGTTGTGCTGTACATATGTGGATCAAGTGGATGTTTTGTTATTAGCTTTACAAGAATGGCCAAAATTATCATACTTAAAGACGAAACATATTAGTAAAGATATAACTTCGTGGATAGAAGAAAACGCATCAACATTGAAGATACGTATTGATTTTGAGTCAATCGTGAGCGATCTAGCTGAAGTGCAGATGATGATAATGCTGTCTGATCCGAATCCTGACAGTGAATAACAACAGTGAAGCCTGTCGAAAGTCTGATTTTAGAGTATAAAGATATTTATTGTTTTTACTTTCCATTGTGATCAATAAAAACAGATTTATTTGCAACAATTTTATATATAGAAGCAATGGATGAATTCATATTCCTTATTGATATGACTAGCACGGAGTAAAATATAGTAACATCGCGTAGTTTTTTGTTGGTGCATTACCTTTTAGTGGATCCCAATATCCATCCATCGCGGCTTCGAATGCTTCATATTGTTATTCTAACATAGATGATCATTCTAAATACTAATAATGGATTTTTGCTTCCAGCAATCTCTTGATTTTGTTTCAAAACTACATGCCGCGAAAACGTATCACAAGATGAATCATATTGTTCGTTTTGTAACTTTTTGAAATATGACATTTTGGGCTATTTCCTTAGAAATCTTATTGGTTTATTTCGATCGGAATCTCCTATAAATTTATAACACTTTTCTTATGCGTGTGTGTGCATCGTTGTCGATCTCAAATGGATTCACATTCATCAATCACTATGAGTAGATTATAAGTACTGCCAAATGAACTCGTATGCGACATTTTTCAATATATTAATGCTCCATAGTTGTTCTATTCATATGCTGGATTAATTCATCACCTTACTCATCTTATTCGAATCATTCCATTCCGTGTGGATTTAACTCGATTGACCAAATCCACCTATGATGAGTTCTGTCAGCTGATTGTATCAAATTCAAATATAAAAGAAAACATCATTTTTCTAAGATTATGCAATGCTGGAAAATTATGGCAAATCGGAAATTTTGTTCCAACAATTTCATTAAATAATTTCACAAACCTTCGATCACCATCGTTGATTGAGGTTAGTGAAAAAGATTCGGAAATATATTACCATCAATGTTATTACCATCGTCGAAACTTCATTGCTTCTCTTCCATCAGCAAGGAACAGTTCAACACTAACTTTGATTTATATTCGAGACACCCAGACCGTAAGATAACTGAATCATTTCAACTTAATATCGGTTTTACCAAATAGAAATCTTCGAAAAATGCCACTATCATATTTTTATTGCAATCCCAGCTCTATGGAATATTATTAATCGAATCCGGTTTAGATTTCGTCTTGCCATGGTTTGTCTATGCTTCATCGTTAAAATATTTTCATATTCGACACTTACACCAGACAAATTACTGAAATAATCAAACTATGTTTACTAATATCAATGCTATTCATCTCAGAGAGTTAATGGTTGGCGAATGTGAGATCCAATATGACGAGCTGGCATATCCATTGAAGCGCACGCCGAATCTACAGAAATTATCTTTGGCTATCAGTCATATCTGCGAGGCTTTTGATACAGTTCACCGGCGAGAATCAATCCATTCATCATTGAAACAATTATCCATCTTTAGGTTCTGTTTTAGCTCACAAAATTCCGCCTTTCTCGCAGATCAAACTTACCGTAGTTCCAATCTAGATGAACTTCAAAGCTATTATATCAATGTACACTATTCTATATTTCAAAGATAGTTATAAACTATCTCAACCCGGCCAGCTAAATGATTCAGTATTCTTAGACAATCCAAACATATTCGACCATGTGAAGACTTCGAGACTCGATACTACTTGATTTCCCAGTGGCTGTCCACACTACTTCAGAAATGCTCTCAATCACTAACTGTAGTAAGAAAATGAGGAGTTCTTAATTCAAATGTAGTCTGGACTTTCAATTGGTAACGTATCAAACATTACACATTCAACCTTACGGGCTTATAGTGACATATTACTTTCGGATATGTCAGCTTTATTGAAAATTTTATCTTGTCTATCTTCATTACAATTTTTTGCACAAGATCTAAGCAAATTTTTCGATAATACAGAGCTATGTTAATATTTGACAAGATTACACATTAAAAAATTCAACACCATCTTTCTTAACTGTGGAGACGATCCTATTCCTGATGATATCGGTATGAAAACATGCGAGCTTTTACCAAACCTTGAAGAAGCAGCCTGAGTATTCGTGAACAAAATCGATGTGTTATTAACAATTTTGAAGGAATGACCAAACTTATCACATTTGAAAATCAGACAAGTTAGTAGAAATATGGCTTCATGGATACAAAACTATGCATCAAAATTGAATGTACGGATTGATTTTGAAACAATAGTCCATGATGGTTATACAGAAAACTAAAAAAACCGCCCGGGAGTCAAGGGGGAAAACTGATTTCCAGCTAAGAAATCACTTGAAATCAAATGAAATCCAGAAATCAGTTTGCTCCCACCTCGTAGGGAATATTACAGCAACTATATATTTATATGACTAGAGAAACTATGGTGCTTTTTCAGTTCATTCATATCACACTGGAAGAATTGCTTCTTTTTATGGTGAACACTGCCTTTAAAACTAAGTACATATCAATGACGTCATCTTCTTTCTTATTGATCTTCCAACGATGAAGTTAAGATCGCCGTTCGTTTAGTTTACATAAGATGTGTGTTATTTACTGATATGGGATCATGAGCAAATTAGAAACGTTACCAGATGAAATCCTACAGGAGATTTTTCAATACATTAATGCTGCCGATTTATTTTATTCATTTGATCAACTAAATCATCATTTTACTCGTCTTGTTCGAGATGTTCCATTACACATCGACTTCTCTCGAGTGACAAAATCGATCTACGAACAGTTTTGTCAACTGATCTTGTCAAATTCACAAATCAAAAGAAATGTTGTCTCTCTAAGATTATCAAATGGTGAAACTTTTTCAAACATAAAAGATTTTCTTCTAGCAAATCCATTGGACAGTTTCATTAGTCTTCGATCATTATCATTACTTGCTATTGATGACACTGATGTGAAAATCATATCGTTTATATTACCATCATTATCAAGCTTATCTCACTTTTCTTTTACTCACAACGAACAGTTTGGTTATAATTGTTTCATCAGTAGATACGGTCTCGCAAATCCTCAAGCAATGAATTTCACATGGATTTTTCCACTAACAAATTTACGACGATTATCAACACCTTATTTTTATCATACTTTAACATGTGTGGAACGCACGGTCAACTTAACATCAGTAACAATATCCAAATGTGATGTAGATCAGGTATTGCAATTGTTTGCCTATGCACCGTTATTGAAACAATTGCAAATTGACCGAGAGTTAAAATCTGAGAAGAAAATCGAGGAATTCACAACTACTGCTGTGAATGCTGTCCATTTGACAAAATGTATTATTTATTCATGTGAAAGTAGCTTTAAAGAACTTGAGTTTCTGCTGAAATACACACCAAATCTCCGGATATTGTCTTTAAAGAATGGTGATAATATCGATATGATCAATGCAATCCGCTGGCAAGAATTAATCGAATTCTCATTGAAATATTTATCCAGCTTTCAGTTCGTGTTTTCCTTGGATGGTGGCATTGATGATCTACAGGCAATGTTAGACATCTTCAGCAAATTTCAAGGCGATTTCTGGCACAAGCAACATCGCTGGTATACCAATTGGCAAATCGAGGAATATTCAGCGTCAATCTACACTATTCCCTATCCAGGAAATGATTTTTATTTGCATTCACCAATAGACTTACTAAACTCTGTGTTATCCAATGATACACATATATTCGATAATGTCAAGACATTGTCTGTCGAAGTCGATCAAAATCCAAGAAATCTGCCGTATTACTTTCGAAACGTTCGATCATTGGAACTAAACATATGCCCAGAGAACAATCAACCAGGATTAACGTATGGAACTTTTCTTTCTTCAATCGTTAACGTATTGAATGTTACGCACTTGGCAATTGATCGTCATTGTAAGGTATCACAATCAGGCTTGATTGATGTATTGAAAATTTTGCCTCATGTCTCATCATTACGAATCGTGCGAAATACTTTTGAAAATATTCACACCAACGCTGAATTATGCAAGCTTCTGAAAGGATTGTGTATAAAGAAATTAGATGTTTATGTGAGTGATTATAGACAATCGTATGCTCCTGAGAAAATCAACATTAAAACTTGTCAACAGTTTCCAAATCTTGAAGAATTGAACTGTGAATGTGTGATCAAAATCGAAGATTTGTTATCATTGTTACGGGCATATCCGAAACTATCTTACTTAAAGATCCGACATATCGGGAAGAGTATCGTTTCCTGGATGGTAGGTGAGATATTGGACATACATATTGATTTTGAAGCAATCATCTATTGATAGGTTATACCGTTTTTATTGGTTTTATATAAAAGATATGCTAAAAATTGATTCTTTTGTTTATTCAATAAACAAACATCGGATTTAAATATCTGATTGCGAAACATTTATCAATAGTTTTTAACTTCTTGAGAGAAAAAGATTCATTGATGGCAGTTTCGATCAAACTCTTCTTAAATTAATTCAATTCGTACCATATCGCTGAATCATTACCATAACGGACTGCGTTTGATATCATTCAATCTGAAGTGAAGACATTCATTTATATCGACAAGTAGCAGAACAGATTTTCATTACTTTTTTCTGTACTTGAAACATTTTCATTTAATTCATCAGCTATTGCCTGTTCAATGGAGATATTAGGATCGTTCCATGTAGCATTAATCTTGAGCTTATTTAGCCTTTGCATCAATGCGTCATCCACACCACGATAGGAAAAGTTCTCTGTTGAAAGCACTTCTGGTCGGTGGAAACTCGTTACACGCTCTCGCGATTGCATCACTTTTGAATACACACGTTTGATCATTCGATCTTCATACTGTTTAACAGCAGCAGGTAAGTCGGATTGATTTCGAGCGATTGTGTCACTTAAATCGACAGCATCCAGAAGAGCTTGATTAGCACCTTGGCCTTTGAACGGAGACATTGGGTGAGCAGCGTCGCCAATCAAGGCAATTTGAATACCAGCTTTGCCTTCATCGGGAATTTCCACTAAATCTCGGTCGAATGCTGGTATACCCATTAGAAGGTTTAGTTTCGTTTTCGCAATCATTTCCGGTATGGGAGCGTGCCAATCAGCACATTTGTCCATGAGCATTTGCTTTAACATTTCTGAATTTCGAGATAATTCCGTAGCATATTCTTGTGAAGCAGGAAACGAAAGTTGCCACATAATCGATTCGTCCGGTCGAGATTTGGAGAACGGCATAGCGAAAAGACGAAAGCATCCATCCATGGTTTGAAACACACGGTCCTTTGCTAGATAATGTTCGATATTTCCCGTGATTCCTAGCACTACTAGCATACCCAAATAGTTTAAAGGTTTGTCAATAGCTGGATCGTATTTGAATGAACGAACTAACCCATTAATTCCATCAGCACCGATGACAACATCAACGTCTGTCACTGTACATTCGTTTGTGAACGAAACTGTACGTGCAGCACGGTCGATCTGACAAAGCCGATAATTCCATTGAGTACCACCTGCGCCGAGCGGATGTATGGAAATGTATCGATTCATGAGAATTCGTCGTAATTCTTGTCTTTCACTATGTAGATTATGCTTCTTATTTGCTTTTGGTTGACTATCCGCTTCTGGCCAGAATATAGTTCCGAAAAAACCGATCATACCTCCGTCTTTATCAAAAATATAATGTGATCGTGAAGGTGTATCAAGTGAATGCACTTCTTCGAATACATTTAACCGTTTTAATGCACTAATTCCTTGTAGAATAGTTAATCCATAACCCTGACGACGACTATCCATACCGGCATCTCGTTCGTATACAGTGACATTAGTGAATCCATGTTGCAGCAGTCCCACACCAACGGCAAATCCACCTAAACCACCACCAATGATGACAATTTTCGGGTTCATTGCGATAATTAAAGTAAAACTTTCTAATTACCAAACTGAACGATGAAAACGAATCGACATGACGCAAACGCATTTCACGAAGGAAAAATATTGGAAGGAAAAGTGATGCAATAGGAATGGGAGAAAGAAAAATCAGTGGATGTCGCGTTACATCAATGTGACATATTTTTCTCTTTACCGATGCTTATCTCCAACGGCTGGGCGAGTACTTTTTCAATACATCAACTAAACAAAATACCGAAGTATTATCAGTTTTATTCAATCATAGATTGAAGGTGACAAGGTTCGACGAAAACGGCAAGTACACGTTTGATACTCTGCTCCGTCGTAATCTATATGCGATACGTTGTGCTCTGGTGCGTTTTATGGAAGTTTCTGTGGGATTTTATTTGCACGCGTTCAAGCGAGAGTATCAGCATCATTGTCTTCCATGTCATTTACTCGGTGGCACAGAGTAGTAAGTGTCTATCAAAAATAAGTCGTCAAAGGGTGATTAATTGAACAGTATATGTATATTACTTTGTTTTGCTACAATACATCAAGTAACTTACAATTACTGTGCTTAATGTCATTAGATCAAACAAATCTTAAACGTTTCATGTATTCAGAGCGGCTACCAATGATCTGATAGCTGACGGATCAGCTTGACTATGGATACACGTCATATCGGATTTTAACATTGAACCCATGTCGAGTTCATAGTGAGTATACATGCTAACAATGACATGCAATTGCCAACAAACAAGACGCAACGGTCGAATGATCATAAATGTAGTAGAGAACCTGTGTTGGTGAACCAACAGAAGATACTGCTGATTTAACTAGTTGGACATTTTTACCGTTCCTTTGTGGTATTCTTATAGGCAGCAAAACATGTGTACTAGTATTCTGTTGACCTTAAGTTTGTTTTTGGCCAATAAAGAACGAGAGTTTATTTTCAACAACAGCAACAACAACAACAAAATGTACCACACAAAACACATTTATTGGTGCGATATTTTCAAACTTTTCATAACATTTTCAAGATCTTGTTTACTCGTATCATCATCATAACTTAATGTAAATAATAAATAATAGCCATCTTTGGTTTTTCTTGTATACTGAATTTGTTTAATCACTTTGCCATCGTCTAAGTTCATCATCGACTGTTTTCTAGTAAAAGTATAGCCATTCAAGGTAACAACACGACAATTACTTTCATTAGCATTGTTTGGATACGGAACGGGTTCACACTCGTTGTCCAGTTCAGTTCTCTCTGGTACACTTTCAATTATACATATAATAGTTGGATTAGATTTATCTTGTGTTCCATATGGATATTTCACAAAACTGAAGAGAGGTAATAACTTGTTTTTTAATCTTGCAGCGGTTAATCCAATCAAATCACTACTATTGATCACTCTTGCATCACCGTACTGCTGAACTACAGTAGTTAATTGTGTTGTATTCATCAGATGCCATCCTTCCGGCATGTCAATAGTAATACCGAAGAAAAGATTTTCGTAGCGATTGCCATACGTATTTTTCAATTCTGTTGGTTCAACTAATCAAGAAACACAACAAATACCACCTTCTATGATAAAAACTTCATTGTGTTAACTTACATATAGGATTTGCCTTCATCAACGTTAGTAGCGTAACTATTGCCAATGCAGATACCGATTTCGACTTCATCTTTTTTCCTTCTGCAATAGGTACGATCTAATGTTCATCGAGTACACGTCTATAAATACGATGAAATGAACGGCTCGTCATGGGATACCGTCTGGCTAACATAGCTTTGATGAGGTGTGAGAAATATCGATTAGAAGATAATTAGCTACGTGATTGCTTTGCAATTTGGAATGCAGATGTTTCTTTGTAGTTACAGAAAGAAAAAACAAAGCAATTCATCTACCAGCGGGGTATGTTTATCTTTCTCATACGAGAAATACCAATCTATACAACTTCAATACTTTATTTTTTTGAAGCTGTAATTTCGCAATCGTAAACCATTATTAATATGACTATTCAAGCGAGATAGAAACAGTTTTCAGCTACTATTCACATTAGTTTTTATTTCAAGATCTTTCCAGATGGTTTTTATGGCCAGTTCCGTCAAAGTAAACAACGTGAGGATCACGCTAAACTTCTATTCACTTGGTTCGATGCAAACATATGTAATTTCGATAGTTCAACCCAATGTATCGACTTCATCGCGTACCTTACCACCAGATCGATATTCTTAATTCTTTCATCCTCACACCCATCCCGTGCTGCACTAAAACTGACATAATCTAATCTAAGCTATTATTAACACTAAAAAGGATTTAGTCGATACGCTTGAAGCGGCTAATTGTGCTCAAATTAAGTTGTTTTGACACATCAACGCTGATGAGAATGATTTAGATATTTAAAAAAGAAAAAGTACATTCTCTCGTTTTATTAATAGAATCTGAATGTCAATTTTACTCTTTTATTATTAGCAGGCAAGCTAATAATCGTTAACCATACGACGAGAAGCGAAGGAACAACTATGATTTATCGCCCACGGTTAAAGTTACTAAAAAGAATTATTTTAAGAATTTTCATGGTTTATTTTGGCTTCAATAGATTAAATAATACATAACTACTAAGAAAAGACTATCAATATACTTAAGCTAAGTTTTTAGTATAATCGCACCTAATTTCGTATTCTATTCTTTATTTCAACAGATATATTCACCATATCATGAAGTATTACTTAGTATTTAGTTCAAATAGGAGGTGGCAAACGTTTTTCCACCAGAGAAGTCATGAGCATATCTTCTTGCAAACGTATTAGACGAGAAATGTTCATTTTTAATCATATATCAGTACCTGATATCGAGCAGAACTTTTGTTCACCACATTCAAACAAGAACAAAAAGCTTAGTTCTCAATTTACACTTATCGTTCATAGTTACATAGTTCATATCAAAATAATCCTCATGTTTTTATCTTTTCAGACTAAAATCTGGTCGACATCGGTGAACTCCAGGAACAATTTATACTTCGTAGACAATTACATTGTACTTCACTGAATATGTTGGATAGAAGTCAAGTCTTTCACTCTGTTTTAACTTTAATTACAATTGGTAATAGTTCATTTACATGTCTCGTATCATTGATTGTTTTGATTAAATGTATCTATCACCTTTTTTTAAAACGTGTCAGTCAAGACGACAAAATAGTTATTCTTCATAGTTCGAATCTGTACTTTTTCATAATGATAAGTACAATTCTGTTGACAATCTTTCATACTCAAACAATCATCGGTGATTTGTATGGTAGTCACTTTCAATCTAAACGATGTATATTCTTAGGAAATCTTCTAATTGTTGCTAGTTCAAATATTTACATGGCTTCGGTTTCCAAGGTACAGACCAGACAACTAAGAACTTTCTTCCAGGTTGACAAAGTCATTTTCGTTTTCTAGGCGCTCTACCGGCTGTCTCGTGTAATTCATCAACAGTGTCGATGCTTTCAACGTACACGATTTTATATAATAACACCATTAGTTCAAATTAGTCTATCGCTTTTACTACTTTGTCCACTTTTCCTTTGGGAGGCGGTGGTTTATCTCCCCCGTGAACATTATTGCTTTGTTTCCCAGACGAACTTTCGGGGTATTCTATGGGCAGTATTTAGTATTTATATTGTTCCAATCATTTGCATACTAACAATCTACGTTCGTATTACGATGTATATCAATAAAGAACGAAAGACTCAAACGAAAATTATTCGACGTCGACAGAGCCGTGATGTTGTAGTCATTCAACGGATACTTATCACAGTTGGTTTGTTAACACTAGCAGGTGCTCCTGCAGCGTTTTTCCTAATACGATTGTTGATTACCGGAAATATCCATCCATTAACATCACGTGTCACATGGTTGATAGCAGGTGTGTGTCTGACAGGATTAAGCGTAACATTGACCTTTTCCATACCCCAATTAAAAAGTATTGTTTTGAAAAATTCTACACCAAGTCAGACTATTTCGATGTCAACTGAGACGACGACAAATGGAATTCAAATGAGGCTCAGCACGAATAAAAAATAAAAATGTGCTCTATGAGCATGTCGAATGAGTCAGTTTTACTATGAAAGAACGGAAAAAGTAAAGCGATAACGATTCGTCTATATAACAGGCAATGCTATTTTGCCACCATATATAAGCACGTTATGTCATCATATTCGCAAATTGAGTAATTTCATTCACAGTATCAATGACAGATCAATCAAATCGATTCATCGTTGAAGATGCTCTTGATGATGATAATAGTGTGGTTAGATTGTCATCGGAAACAATGGAAAAATTACAATTATTTTGCGGTGATGCTGCTAAGTTCAAAGGAAGAAAACGACGGCAAACAGTTTCATTGGTATTATCGGACGATTCATGCCAACATGATCGTATACGAATGAATAAAGTCATGCAGCATAATCTACGAGTTCAACCAGGTGATATTGTTACATTTCAAGAATGTCAACATGTTAGTTATGGTAAACGTGTTTATATTTTGCCGTATGCTGATCTTCTAAGTGATATTACTGATGATATGTTAAACGAGCATTTACAATCTTATTTTCGTGATGCTTATCGACCAGTTTACATTGGCGATACATTCAATCTTCAAATAGGAACGAATACAGTAGAATTTAAAGTTATAGAAACAGATCCAAATCCGTACTGTATCGTCGCACCAGAAACAGTCATTGACAACAAAGGTGAACCAATCAGTCGAATCGAAGAACAATACTCCAGCAATGAAGTTGATTTTCTTGATGTTGCTGGTTATGACGATATCAAAAAGTGTTTACAAGAAAGTGTTCAGGGGATTTTAAACTTTCAAAATACCAACCACAAATTTCTTACATTCGGTCTACGATTTCCAACNAAATTGTAGATTCATTTTCTCATAGTCTAGAGAAATTGTACTTTAAACTTTTCCTTTCAATCAGTATTTTACAAGAACAATATACTGAAATATAATCTTCGTGCAGCATTCGATAAAGCTCGTCAGACTGCTCCGTGCATGCTCCTTATCGACGAACTTGATTATGTGTGTAAGTAGATATAACATGAATATTACATTTCAATCACCTATCTACAGTTGAAAGCCAGACAATGGATAATGTTACCAATCAGTTGTTGACGGAGATCGATGGACTCGCTCCCCAGTCACAAGTCATTCTAATTGCGGCAACAAATCGGCCTGAGTTGTTTCACCAAACATTTCTTCGACCCGGTACAAATTTCCATTGTTTTTTTTTGATAATGCTAATTGCTCGAGTCTTGTTTCAGGTCGTTTGGATGAGAAAATGTTGGTTCCACTTCCTGATCAAAAAGCTCGAGAAACTATCGTCAATATCACATTGAAAAGTTACTCTGCAATGACAGATGCTGATATCATATCTATAGCCCAAACCTTAGAAGGAGCTACAGGCGCTGATATTGTCGCATTTTGTCAAAAAGCATGTAAAACAGCTATTCGAGAAATGATTGAAAACGAGTCACAGAAGGAGCGATTGAATCCAGATATTCACTCAGATGTTTGCATCCGAAGAGATCATTTTGAACAAATATGGCGAACTCTGCCCCGTGTGTGTCTGACCAATGATGAATATAAAAAATACGAAGTTTTTACTCAAAAATGGCAGCCATTTGAGAGATTCAATTGCTTATTTCCAAAATCTGCTGACAATCCTGAAGGTAAACAAGCATCGAAAGCTTACACCGATGATGACGATCTATATGAGTAGATATAAAACAACACCAACGATTCGTTTTTTTTTTCGTTTTATTTTTATACACGAATATCTCATAGTATATATATATAGCCAAGAATAAAAGCAATTGGAAAAGTTTGACAATGTATATACAATCACTTCTGATCGCAGTCTGCTACAATTTGCCGAGAACAATCGGCGATCAAATCATTTAAGCGAATAATTAAATTTCTCGTTGGTTACTCTTTCATTGAGGTGATCTTGAGTATCACAATGATATATATTTTGAGCAGATGTTATCAACGAATACTCATTGAAATCTGCAATTTCAATACTATATTCTTTATCATAGTATCTGATCGTTCTCTGCAACTTCTGAAGAGAGTTTTGCTCGGAATAAAAATGTCTTAAATAAATACTTTTCTTTCTTTCCTCGCGATTTAAGTTACTTATGCACATGTTTTAGATTTCCTTTGCAAAAGCATACTACTACTGCTGACTTGTAGAGTCATTGTAGCACCTATAATATCAACTGATTCACATTCTGTGTGCGAATTCAAGCGAAGATTATATTTCAGTATATTGTTCTTGTAAAATACTGATTGAAAGGAAAAGTTTAAAGTACAATTTCTCTAGACTATGAGAAAATGAATCTACAATTTAACATCTCGGTCTTTTACTTCATTAGAGTTACAAAACAACCAATTACCTCTTCATATTTAGATTCCTTAACAAAGAGATGTGTAAAAACATCTGTGTGACATAAAAGAGAGGAGTTTTATAATAGAACACCACAGTATAGCAGCTGATGTCGTCCATCGCATGCTGAATAGCATAGGCAGTATAATGAGCTGTATATTACTCGATCTGTATATTCATTCAATGATTCTCATAGTAGTTATTCTCGTTCTTCCTATGTATTGTTGTTTATTTCCACAATGTTCTTCGACGTCCTCGTATTTTACTTTCAACATCATCGTTCGATGATAATGTTTCATTGATGCTTATCGCTAACACATATATCGTCTGTCTAATATTTCCTATATGATGGATATTAGTGCTTCGCTCGAACATCAACTGAGGATCTTTCACTTTTCAAAGATTTCATCTACCTTGATAATTCAACTTTTTTCTCGATCACAAATGTGTATTATTTATATCTTAATAAGTCAACTCCATCTGAGTTATCTCTTGCAAGCACTTTACCTATTTCTTCGCGTTGCCTATACTTAAAAATAAGTGCACAGTATCAATCCAAAATATTTGGTTTTACATTTCTTAACTCGTTAAGAGACATCCTTTCTAGGAGATTATTAACCATTATCCACTATCTGTAAATTCGATGTAATGATACGTGTAAAACAAAGTCCTTTATAAAATAAAGTCGCTTATTACAAAACCTCGACACAGGTAGATTCGATGACGATAATGTGCGGATGAACGGAACTATTCGTCTGGCAGAACAACATTTCTCTTCACAGATTTATTCTCGAAAAGATCAGGAAAGAAATATAATCAAATATTGGTGTCGGTTTGGTTCTCTCATAAGTCTGTAAAGTACGAGTGATGTGTAGAGGTGATCTGCTTGGTAGTGGTCACACTGATAAAGTAATCTAGTTGTCTATCATTTGCTGTAGCGTATCCATGCATCGATTGCGAATTGTCATTAATGTGCTCGCAGGAATGAGAGGACAGGCGATACCGAACATCATCGTCAGGACACCATTGACTGTCTGAACAATAGTGAAAGGAAACGGAGCTCGAAGAAGATTGAAGAATGGAGTCGCGCCTATGAGCTGCCATGGACCGTATTGTTCAACGAACGGCAGCACGCCCCAACTGGACGTACCAAATGTTGGTATATAGGCCGCTCGGATTGGACTCAGGGACATTTCATAGACCTTCGCAGTGAACAAACCACATGCGAGTATTTGACCGGCGTTGACGCACGCATTCGTATGTCGACTATAGGTGTGTGCCAACTGCCATAAATCTTCGGGTGTTTTGGGTGCAGCGCTCACGGGTAGACTAAATGGCACAATGCCAGAAGCGTGGTACGCTAAATCGTGATTAGGAACTGGCGGCATACAGCGTCGTCGAGTATCAGCGCTCAGCGTAAAGATCATGGTTGCATCTCGACCATCTCTGACTTGTATCAAGGTAGCCGTTATCGCTAAGATAGCGCTGGTCACAGCAGATGTCACCGTTACTCCATTCTGACGACATTTTACTAGTAACTTGGCCGTCATTTCTTTGCTCAACACGCCGTGAATAATTTCCGTATGGCAGTAATGATCCATCTCATTGATATCGAAATCAACTTCGGCGAAGGGCACTCTTGCGACAGGTAATCTGTTAGCTATAAGTGTATGAATTGTGGAGAAAAAGAATCGACTCAGCGTGAGAATTCGATTAACAACCGACAGACTGTTACGAATCGCAGCCTCCATCGAAATTCCCCAAGGCAACGGTTGCTCACATGCATGTCCGGTGTTGTCCGAGAGGATCTGCAGCAGTTCATGTGCAGCATTACTCATAGACTGACCATCAGAAATGCAATGCTCACACATGAGCACCACTTCGCGAAACCCATTTGGATCGTCTTTATCATTCGGATCCTAAAATAATCTTTGTGTATTGTGTTTTCTATAATCTCGCGTGATTGGACTCTTACTTGTAACAACCACAGTTTAGCCATTGGATCACCGATGTTGATGGGGTCCTTTTCTCGTCTGGGCCATTCTTGCAACCAAAAATGATTACGTTCCTCGCGCTTGCGTGGTAGTTCTTCGATAGGTAGTTGTAACTTTTCGTCTTCTTCGAACATGAAGCAGTCGCGATTGGTCGGATGTGCTCGAAGACGGCTTCGCAGAGCAGGATGGCGACGTTGGAGACGAGCAACAGCTGCGTTCAGCTGTTCGAGAGAAATGTACGGTCCTTGCAAATAAAGAACTTCTCCTAGCCGGCTGACACCATGAAAGCGTTGTGTTAGTTTAATCAGAGCATTCTCCGTAGAAGTGCACACGTGTTTTTCAGGACTAGTGTCAAATGCTCTTTTCCGAAAATAACGGGCCATGATGAGAGCTCATGAAGTCAAGAATCTACAATTGATAGTTTAGTAATAAAATCGTTCTTGATCGTTGATTCTTTTATACGTGTTCGCTCGCTATACAGTACAATCGATAAACGACATCACAGGGGTGGCGCGGCTGGGGGTGTGACATCCTCCCAATCTTCACAAATTTCTTGTTTTTTGCTCACCACTTTACGCCTATTCTTAGAAACTTTTAGACATAATCTTAAAATTGATGAAAATTCATCGATGTCTCGCCAATTTTTTGGAAGTCAGGACAGTTCCGCAGAATAGTCACACTTTTCGAACTTTTAGTTTAAAAAATCGCAACACCCCCCCCCCCCCATGTTGGGTGAGTCGCGCTACCCCTGACGACATCTTTCGAATGTTTCGTATGTGTCAACTGAAAAGTTGGGTTTTGTGATCAGCCCATTACACTCTGTCAGATGACATGATGTAAAACACGAAAAAAGTTCTATTTGAAGTTTAACTTTCCAATATGTCATGCCTCTATTAAAATGAGCACAAAAATGGAGTGATCTCGTGCAACGATATGTTTATTTTGGAGAAAAAGGAGTAAAACTTAGATTTATTCTACTTTCAATGTATCTTCGCGATAGCTACATTCCTAGTTGATAATCTCTGTTTAAGCCCAGTATCAGTCAGCTGAATTTCTGTTTGTCGCATAAGAACTCACGTACAGTGTGCAACGAGTAATATTCGATAAAAAAAACTCTAAACCAATTATATGCACTTTGTGGGAATAAAACAATATCATCTTTTTCTTGCGTTCTTCTCTGTCTGCCAGTATGGTGTGCTTGGCATAGAGTTTCAAAGTTGATAGCCGCGCTTCGGCTTAGAAAGGAAAAGAAAAAACTGCACCACGAGGGTGTACGAGATGATACATCACTAAGATGATTGACATTCGCTTGTGATAATTTTCATTCATTGTAGTTAACTGTTTTGAACTGAACATATTTGAACTATTTTAGATACGAGGACTGGAAAATTTTCAGTTATATTCTTTTACGTTACTCTGATGGCAAAAATCAGACTATCATGGTAAACAGAATTAATAAGGATAGTAAGGTCATTGAGATGCCCATAGCAAATGAATTAAAGCTTTTGTACTGCAAAGACGTTATTTGATAAACGAGCGATCTTTATGACTCATATTGTCTTCCACGCTGAAAGACTATAAACAATCTATTTCAAAATTATGCTATAATCGCAAACAACTTCATACATATACAGCCAAATCATGTTATTAGTATTCACAAACATCTGTACAAGTTATTTGTTATTCCAGATCTAATTATTAATAACATTTCTATCAAAACTTGTTGTTGTTACTTAACTGTATTTCTTTGCACATTTTGTTCCGTATCTACTGACAAAGTCTCCAAGGGAGAAAAAATACATTAAAAAAAATCGGTGGTTGTTAGAATTGCCGCGAAGATCGAGCCACAAGCAATTCCAAAGTATAACGCTGTTACCATCAGATACATGGCTCTTTCATAATTATTAATCCCGGTGATTGCTTTTGTACAGTTCATAAACGAAACAGTTGCTACAAGACCGTTGGTGATTCCTAGTAAAGTAACAATGATGAGAAAAAGAATATTATTTATACTATGACGAAAGACGATAATCAGAACAAATATAGTTCTGAGTAATGATGACAATAAACATATTTTCGATGAAAAATACTGGTTGACATTATTCGCACAGATCCGCCCAATCAAGTCTCCTAAATTGTACGCTCCTACAACGAATGGTGAACACCACCAAAGATGGCCATCATATTTGAACCAACCGTGCGTTGTCACATTGCAAGATACGCCTGGCCACAGTACTAACGTAATGAAAAACGTGTAGAATTGTACAAATAAATGAATTTTTACAATCTTAATCAACGCCCAATAAGAATGTTCATCCTCAATCAAATTTAGCTTAATCCGAGCATGAGTATCAGTCTTTTCTTGTTGAAATGCTAACATTTGCTGTTTGATTCGAATATCCACTGATGGAACACGTATCAATTGATGATAAACATACATGGCAACGAAACATAGAAGAATTTCCACACTGATAAATATGTAAAACGCTAATTGATCATGATCAATACTACTATGGATAAGTAGAACCACTAGACGTATGATGGTATCGACTATAACATTAGCGATTCCGGCTATCGCAACACCCACTTGAATAGCTTGTAAAAATGATTTACGAGGAAAGAAACCACCGATAGCGTATATAGGCGATTCAATTAATGTGTTCAAACCACCAGTAATTGCAAAAGCAATCAGTAATATGCTCGGATTACTCCAGCATATAAGAAAAGTACCGACAACAATGCAACCGATGAGTCCAGATATTACTCGTTTGGTGAATCCATATTTATAGACACCTGTTAACTGCAATATATTCGCAAGGAACACACTAATTCCATAGACGGAAACTCCCCAAAATTCCACATGGCTTGTCGGATAAAACTTGACAAAGTAATTTTGTGCAGTTACCAGCGTTTGATACATCCATAGAGCAACTATACTCAAGAAGAAAAGACGCCAATAGATCCTATCGTGATCCTTCGAACATTCGTCCTCCATCTCTTCTCGTGAACTCGTTCGTATCGCATTCAGCGGTAACACCTCATCTTTACGATCATCCATCGTGATGCACAAACCAAGAGATGCTTCCTACGTTCGTTATATTCGCAAATAACACTCGTCACGTTGTACAGAACGAAAAATACTTCGATCGTCATATTTTTTCCACGCTCATATTTATCAATAACTTTCAAAAACAAACAGTTATTTATCACATGCTCGTCACACCACACGATATGCCCTCTTCTACACGCAGAGTCTTCGGACTCCTTTCCAAACACGAAACAGTTTTCATATTTAAAAGACAAAAGTTGCTCTGGCAGACTGATGTTTCCACCAATCTGCGTCTTTTCGTCATCGCAACATGTTTTTCCTATTTGAAGGAATATCTACCTCTTGGTAAGTTGTAATAAGCAAAGTTACTAGTTTTAGTAAAACCACGACATCTAGTTTGTCTATACACATCTCACTTTCTTTCTTCGTCCTACCTTCGTTCTGCACAGTACATGTCAATGAAACAATTCTTAGGCATTTCCAATGTTCATCGGTATCGATAGTCGCTTTTATTTATCTACCTTCTGCGATGAAACAACAGCAGGGAAGAGAATAACATCAATCATTTTCTTTTCATCTTGATTTAGTGAACGAACTGCTGCTTTGGTAGACTGGCATTTCCACCTATCTGCATCTTCTCGTCATCGCAACAGGATTTTTTTGTGTTTATGGTTACCTCTGAGAGTATAGTCTAATAAGTGGCTACTTCGTTCGTCTGCACATGTGTAACTGGGGAAGGACGACCGAAGAAAGTGATATGTGTACAGACAAACTAGATGTCGTGGTTTTATTAAAACTAGTAACTTTGCTTATTACAACTTACCAAGAGGTAGATATTCCTTTAGATAGGAAAAACATGTTGCGATGACGAAAAGACGCAGATAGGTGGAAACACCAGTCTGCCAGAGCAACTTTTCTCTTTTAAATCAACGATCAAAAGTGTAGTTTTAGACAAATAAAGTCAGTTTTTTCATTTCACTGATGAAACTTGTGTATTCAATCGGAGAGAGATCATAGTTATTGAATTTTTTCTCCAGTTTCTTCTGTAGCGAGTCGAAGGAAACAGTTGGATTGTCGTTACAAAACGTGTATAATTGGTATAGAGCAGATCCGTCCATTCCTTTACAAAGTAAAATTAACGGGTATAACTTTTTATCATTCATGAAGTCAATGACATGTTGCTGTGACCAATTCTGTATCGGAATTGTTGAGTAGAGACCGTTGGATTGTGGAGGATAGACGTATTCAGTATCAGCTACGGGATTGGTCGTGGTAGGCTCTTGCGTTATTTTGGTATTGGATAGTTTACGAATTTCTGTTTTCAGTTGTTCATATGCAGTATTGTAGTCGAATTTGGAGAAATTGATATAATTCAAATGAGACACAAGTAGACCAAGCCAGCCATCTGGTGAATAGGCAGGAGGTAGTTTGAGCGGAATGATTTTCGTTTGTCGTTGAAATGCATAGTTACCCTCTCGTTGGCACCATGGACTAATTTTATAACTGTAGGTCATTCCAAGTAAGACTATTTCACTATTTTCAATGCCATCGGCTATGGCAGCAGGGGTTGAACCGGTCATATTATTCTTATCGATCCAAACGTTGAAGCCATCACGAATCAAATGATCGGCAATTCGATGGCATAGCTCTTTATCATCATGCGCGTAACTGATCATAACATCGTATTTCTTCGTTTTTCCTGACGTTTCACGATCTTTATTCGATGACGAGAATGATTCATCAGATCCACTTACAGCTTTTCCATTTTCTTGCTCACCTTGAATTTGCCACAAAATTCCTTGTGCAGCACTTGATATGGTGCTACCGATTTGTGTATTAGATTTTGTGTCCGTCGCTAGAATCCGTATTCGACTGATTAGCTCGTCGTTCTTAATGATTGCTAAAGCTACATTCTTTTCGAACGATAGTGTCCACAGAATACTCAATGCAAGTGCTAATTCTTGACCGTTGCTCTTGAAAATAACAGTGGATAGTGTTTCTAAATTTCTATTTTGTGCTAACATTTCACTCTTGATTTCATCATGTTGCACGAGAGCTATCGAAATAAACAAATCGCATCGAAAGATATCAGTCAAAACTTCTGAGTATATACATACTTTTCAAGCCGCAAAGAATCGCTACCAGCGGCACACCTCGGAACATTCGATCAGGCGACTGCATTGCTTTCGTCAAATATGTAAGGAAAACCGTTGTAATTTCTTTCGCATTGTTCAGTTGTTTGATTTCAGCTTCATTCAAAATACCAGCTAAGATCAGATAGGCATGTATTCTAATACGATCGTAAGAGGCAATACTGGTAATATTCAGGAAAAT